GCTCACATAATCGCTCTTCATATCTTTATCATTCAATGGGTTGAGCTGAACCGGATCTCTGCTCCACCTGAAAACAAAATAAACAAAACATACTGTAACTTTCAAACCTCTGATACAAAGTGCTGCACCAAATAAAGTACAAGTTTCCCCTATGCGCCACTTCCTTCTGCCTCCTTCACACCTACGGACACTTTAGACAAATGGAGGTGCCAAACTGTCTCCAGGCAACAGTTCACCATTCACACAACATCAACACTCACACAACTCTAAGCAAATCAGTGCTTTTATATTATCTTCAAGGTCACCCGCTGCGCAGGCTCATTTCAGATATGTTATAAGGTCCAGTAAAGATCCAATTGAAAAGTGCAGTTTTATAGACACATAAGTTTGATTGGACAGATTTGGCACACACCACCTACAGTAAAACCCCCCTCAACTCCCACTCAGTGTGTACACAAACTGTAGTATTATGCCCTCTTCTGGCAGACAGACATATGAATTGCTATATTTTCCAACTAGTTTCTAGACTCTTTAATCAAGATTTCCACCAGTACACCTACAAAATAGTGGTAAGACTAATCAAGCAAGAATTCACAACATAGATGTTATGAAGTGTAATTTTACATGCATTATTTTGTATTTAAAATAACATTAAGTATCATGATTATCACTGGATCACTCCACCAGCATTACAGTCACATTTTGATAATAAAACAAGGAAAAGTTTCATGTTTTTTGACAGCTTGCAAATGCAGAACAGTTTACAACAGTGTATTTCTAAATAAAATGTGATATTGTTTTGTGGTTGCATTATCTTCTTGCACTATATCATAATGGAATCCTGTTACACGTTGTACTATTTCATATTGCACCAGGTTGCATCATTAGTGTTCCGTGTATATCGGGCATATTGTATCGATGCTGTGAGACTAAGGACATTGTTAAAAAAACACAAGAATGAATGTGCCCACTCAAACGGTAAGTCTTGTATTTACATTCAGCTATTATCTGGTCTGCGATATGGGCAGTTTATGTGAAGGTCATTTGAGTGAAGTGGTTTACAGTCAGCTACAGCAGAGACGAATCTCTTTATTGGTGGTTTTCAGGTTCAAGAAAGTGAATACCTAAATGAGAAGAAGAAACGTCTCAGTACCCATACATCCACTCATACCTGATTGACATAACTAGCCTAGAGACCCAAAGAAAGCCTGAAATCTGCTGAAATCCTAAAAGACATGATATATGATACAAGACAGGACAGAGGCTTTTCTGCAGGAGACATGCGCAGTAGAGCATGAAGTGACGTATAGAGCCTATGCATTAAAGGTCCCCATAGTTTGAACTTTATAAACTAAAGGACATCCTACCATTGCAAATTTTATAACTTTGTATCAACGGGTATTAAATGATGAAAATCTAGAATAACTGCATAGTGATTAACAATTTAAAACTAAATATTATATCATAAGTCCTCAAAATGTTGTATATAACATAGGGGTGTAACAATACGATATCACAATATTTCATCCCAGTATAACGATAATAAGAGTTATGGTGCAGCAATAGCTAAAAAAGACAGAGGGAACTACATAGACCATGATCCTTTGTTTCATTTCAGTGTAGACTACATGAAGAAATAACAGTTCTAACCACTTTTAAGTGTTAGTTCTTTGGATTAAGTCTTGTCAACGCATTTTAAGAGGAAAAAGAAGCAGTTAAAGGTAGTTTTAGCTGTTTAGCCTCCACAAAATGTCCGTGAGATGTATATCGTGAAAATATTGTACTGAGGGATTTGGATATTGTTACATCCCTAATCGTAAGCCTCCCCACCATATTGTGAGCTTTCCCACGATATCACAATAAATATCGTACCGTGAGGTTCATACTGTGACAATATTATATTGTGAGACTTGGATATCATTACACTCCTAATATAACAGGAAGCTGAAACCCCCAAAAACAGGACACAAGGACAAGAGCTGTGGAGTTGGAGAATCAACATAATAGCATTTGTAAATTAAACTGGCAAACAAATTTTTTACTTTTTTTTTTTTTTTTTTTTTTTTTAACTTTTTTGGCAGTGGCACACTTTTGTTGTGAATAAGGTGTTACAAAATAGCATCAGCTAAAAATTACAAATTACACCATTTATAAAAAAATGTGCCATTGTTTCTGGTTCTTTTCACTCAAAAATTGCCTTTTTTTCATAGCACACCTGGTAATGACTCAAGGCACGTTTGAGGTTTCAAAACAAAATCTGTTCAGTTCCAGCTCTGAGACATTACTGTATTTTGACTGATGTGATGCATAGGCTTATCTTCACTTCCAACATGCATCTCCTGGTTCATTTCACCAACATTCATTGTAGAGAGCCATCCAAGCCATTATTTGTTCAACTTAAAGTGTTGAAAATGCATGATATTGTTGACTTAAGTATCCTTAAAGTATTGTATAAAGCAAAGGGCCATGTATTACCCGTATATATCCAAAGAGTTTGAGTTGAGACAAGCCACTACAATTTAAAAGGAACCAACATGTTTAAAAAACCCAGATTCAGAGCCAAGGTTATGGAGCGAAGCATCACTGTGAAAGGAGTTAACTTATGGAATAATCTTGACAAAGATATAAAAGAATCAAGTACAATGATGTCATTTAAAAGCCGCATAAAATCAAATGTAATGTGTATGTATGAAAAAGGAAACTAAGTTGTTGTGCATAATATTGAAGATTTATGTTTGCAATCGATTATTAATTGTGCCTGAACTGAAATGTACTGTTTTGAAATTTTTAAAGTAACTATCGGTGTTGATGTATTATCTGGAAAAGGGGGCAGATAACATAAGATTGCTCTTTTTTCTTTCTTCTCCTTTTTATTCATTTCTTGTATGTTTGATGTTGTGACACTGTTGATGTCTTTTTATACTTTATGAATGAAATACATAAACAAATAAATTAATACATTTGTGTATAATTTGAGCTTTTCTGATAGATACTGGCCACTGCAGACCGGGAGCCCCATAAGAACTGCAAGAGACAGGAAAACCATTGTGCCACTACAGCACAGGACATGTACACTCCACTCAGGTCCCATAACAACATCAGCATTGCACTTAAAAGAACAGTATGCAGTATGGAATGCACTATAAAATGCAGTAATGGCCCTGCTCCTCAACAGAGATGACTAAATATCCAGGCAAAAATAAAGAAAAATTACACATTCAGTCACGGGCTAACAAGAAGACAAAGCTTGTCTGCATAGAAAGCATCTTCATTGTTATATTTCAAAGTGGAGGCATTAAGCATTTCCACCAAAGAACAAAAGCTCATGTAGTCCTTTCTCTCCCAACCTGATTAAGTTTTTCTTATTGTTTACTGCAGTTTGCGGCCACATGCAGCCCCCTGTCTCACATCCGCCTCCCTGCAGCCATTCATCACAGGGAAATTGAATTGTTCTCCAAAGCCAAGATGCCACCGCGTACAATCAACCATTAGTTTTTCAGCCCCAACAGCTGGATGCTCCGACAGCAAATTGCTCCGTGCCGCCCCAGGATAGGCCTTTGTGATTTATCTCCGGGGATCACGCTGGTCTAAGTGGGTAGTCGCTACTAGATGGAATAATACGTCTCATGTTCATTGGGTGTATCACAGCAAGGCTCATATATCCAGAAGTTTTAAAAATGTCTTTTGGCTTTGGCATTGACTTGAAAAGACACATTGTTAAAGCTTCATATAGTTGAAATCCGAACAGGACAGTTTGATTACGTTAAAAATCTTCAGATATATTATGAAAAAAAGCTTGAGTAACTTGTTGGATATGTTGTCCATAGCATGTACCAGGGGTTACTAAACTGTAGAGGTGGTATAATTTGTGAATCTGAATTACAGGGATCTAGTATCGGTTTCATGATATCGGTTAAGCCAATATCCTGATTGGGCCTTTAACTGGGTATAATAAGACCATTTACTAACTGATTTTGGCCTAGAAATTGTCATAATGTTTGAACTTGTATTAATACAAAGCTGTTCAGTAGTTATTTGAAGGATAAATAACAGTTACATAACACAACTGCATACTGCCACTGCAATAACTCAACTGTGTTGTAAGGAAATAAGTCTGTGCATACATTGGTATCACTTAATATCGGGTATCGGTAGAAAATTAGATATCAAAGAATCAATGATGCTATCAGAACTTACATGTTATATAATGTAATGCAATTCCTCTGACTTTCTGGACATTGTTTTATTTCAGACCAATACTTATTAAGACTAATACTATATACCTATATCTGGACCACAGCAAAAATAGTGAGGAATAGCAAAGAATAATAATGAATTGATTGAAGTGATTAAAGTCTGATTTAGGCACACTCAGTTCTCTCTTCTTTTAAATTCCTTTAATTCTGACAATACCTCTCCACAGATCTGACCTGTAACTTGGTCACCTGCTTGTCTCCATGGAGTTAATAAGTTAATTATTGTGGAACATTCCAAGCAAGCAGTAACATCTTCATGACAAGCAGGTAGCTGACACTCCTCCAGTGCGCCTTTAATGTCCGACATGTGCATTCAGTGCTTGAGTACTCGATGATTGTTCTTACAGACACGTCATCACTTCACTTAATTTTACTCTAAAAGCTGATTCATTGTACAAAGTTGAAAAAAAAAAAAAAAAAAAAAAAAATAGTAGTATACAATGATTTCCCGCGTGGAGCCTCTTCCTGTGGGACTGTATAAACTGAAAATTCCGCGTGGCACTTGGAGACACAAAAAACTCAGGTTTGGTCCGAGGAGGGGCCTGAGTGGGTCGGGTTTCCAGAGAAGTTCGACCCTTTGCTCAGAGCGACTATCCCGTTAGCGTCCTTCGTAGATTTATAAATCACCAGCCCCCTTCAACTAATGAGATCGGCGCTTCCAGATTATCTACGTATCTTCAATTTGGCCGCGTCCTTCCGGTGGGCGGTTCAAGTTATGACTCCTACTACCTCAGCATCCTTCCTAGCGTTTGGAAAAAAGAAAAAGCTAAACAAGCCAAAGTTTTCCTCCGACTGGCGAAAAGAGGATCCGACATGGATGTAAAGGATTTGTTTTACTGACTTAACCAGAAGGACTGGCGACTTCTTCGTCTGCACGGTAAAAGAATGATAACATAGCAAGCGATTTGGATGCAAAGAAGTTTTCAAGAGTTTGTGGGAAACTTTTTTGAGGCTGAAAAAGCAGGCAAGCTGGCTGTCTGGCTATGGCGCGGGAGAGAGGAGAAGAAGACACCGGCGGAACTAGTAGCAAAAGTGCTCCAAAAGTCAAACAGAGACAAAGGAAAAAGAAATCCAAAGAGAGCAAAACGAGGACTGTCCACGCAAACATACTTTACGACAGCGCGAAAGGAGAGGAAAACCCGAATCGCCACTATGCAAACAACAAAATCAAGACGACTAAATACACCCTGCTTTCATTCCTACCAAAGAATCTATTCGAGCAGTTCCACAGATTTGCAAATGTTTACTTTGTCTTCATCGCACTGCTCAATTTTGTCCCAGTTGTCAATGCGTTTCAACCCGAGCTAGCTTTGGCCCCAGTTGTTTTTATTTTATCTGTCACGGCTATCAAAGATCTATGGGAAGACTACAGAAGACACCGGTCTGATAAGGAAATCAATCATATGGACTGTCTTGTGTACAGCAGGTAAGTTATAATGTCCGGCAAGAAGTAACCATGTCTAGACAACTGTTGCTCTGAGCTAGTTTTTCCATGTTTTTCTGTACAAACTGTACCTCTGCTTCACACACTATCCACAGCAGATAAACTAGCTACTTCATTTAAACTAACTCACTAATGCGTGGCCATGCACAAAACATCAAAAACATTGGCTGAAGTTACAAAGATTTATTTTAAAATGCAGTCTGTTCTGGGAAAAGTGGACAGAATAAATGCCAAAGTAGTTTAACTATATGGCCCATATAAAGTATATTTTTGTACATTTTTTACTTCATGTTGTGAAGAAATCACTCACACTTTACTAGATAATGGAAACTATTAGTAGCTCAAAGTTGCCAGTGTTTTCCCAGTGAGTTTGGAAGCAACAACATCAATGTAAAAAAGTAATATTGAACTATTTATAATTATTACACTATTATTATCACACATATCACACATTACACTATTCTCTGAGCTACAGTGCTCTATGTACACATCTTCCTATGCTGAATGAGTAAAAATCTCTTTCATAAAATGAAAACAGAAAGTACTTACCATTTCCTCTGCTGGCACTCATTGGTCTGTCACAATAAGACATTTTTGTAGTGCAATACATTGTTCCACAAAATATTCAAAATATTATAATTGGGAAACCTTGAATCCTGAAGTCACAATATTGAAACTACTTTATGCCACTGACACAATAATCCAAAAGCAGGTGTGTATCATCAGTAGTAGCTAAACCAAACCATTGACAACAGAGTTGTTCACGGACTCCTCAAGATGCACCTCGTACGTTTGCTGATGGCTGAGTTAGTGCTTGTGGCTAATGAAAAGCAGCACTATCACTGAATTCATGCTATTTCAGATTCTACAATAAATGTACAGGATCAGTTGAAATAAGATTGTCTTAAATCCTAAATAAGAGATGAATATAAAGTTAAATACACCAGGACCCCTAGATTAATACCACAGCTAACCCATATTAAAGTCTGTTTTTGTAACAGAACCTGCCTAAATACCACCGCAAAATACCCACCGTATACCACCAGTCAATCCCATCCCACACTTGCGCTCCCTTGCACCACAAACCTACTGACAACCTGTTGCAGCCACTAACATTTGGCCTTCCTCTCAAATGCACCTATTTTTCCTTAGGGCTGAGTTAGCACATGTTGCTAATGAAAAGCAGCACTGTGGTCCGTGTACACTGCATAGTTCATGCTAATCAAAAGACTCACTGTTTACGCTCCACACTTGAGCTCCAGAGTCTTCATGACCCGTGTTGTTCTCAAGCCTTGGAAATAATTGAATTTCTTTTGCCATGGTGACACTGTACAAAACATGTCCTTCTCATAGAACCGTGGCAGCTGCTAGTTGTTTTAGTATTATGTTAGGATCGAAATGATCCTAACATAATTGAAAAAAAAATATGTTTTGGAGATTTTGAAATGTTTCATACATACCAGAAAAATAGTTGATGTTCATTGTTACATAACATCCATAAATAAAAATGATGTACAAGTTACTGATTCTGACAAAAGGCAAGAGTGGAGAGTAACTAACTACATATACTCATGTAACTGTAATTGACTGGGTAGTATTTCTCAAGAATATTTGAGTAACTGTAGTTTTATCAGATTAAAAAATCAGCACACTTTCCACCATGGATAGATGCAGAGCTAATCTAGTATCTAAACCACATAAAACCAAGGTTCTGACAAACCAGCAGAAACAACAACAAAGCAAAACACACATAAGCACCATTATAGTGAAAGTCCATTATACCAGCAGATGTAGGCTCCACAGGATGGGAAACTTTAAGGTGTTTGCTGTAGTAGTATACACAGGAAGTTTCACATGGGTGGTATTAGTTTAGATTCCAGTCATATCTTGAATCCTAATATTTACAAGTGTGACAGATACGCAGGGTCGAGCAAGGATATGTTTTTACTCATTTGTCAAAACTGATGTATTTCGGATGAGCAAAAAATGAGCCAACTGCAGGTATTGTAAAACAACTTACATTTTGCCTGTACCTACTGTCTTTATAATACTGACTTCTTTAGTGCCATCTCTGAAAATATTTGGCTTTGCAGCTACTCAGTTTAATTAAATCAGGTAATATGAATCCAGGTTTGAGGACAAGGCTGAGACTAGAGCTAACCCAGGCTAAACCCAGTGCTGTATTGAGACCAAGCCATCCACAGACTAAGATTAAACTGGTCTATAAATCAAAACATTAAACTAAAAATAATTACACTTTAAAATTCATATTTCATATTCAGCTCTATTGTCTGACTTATGGAACTGTGTAGTACCTTGTTTTTGTTTGTAGACAATTACATGAGAAGAAGCATGTGAAAGCTGTTTAAAAATAACAAATATTAATTATAGTTTTATGACTGTGGCATTGAAGTAAACATCTCTGGGGTTTTCCATGTGCAGTAGTATTCAGAAGAACCATTATGTCAGATATGCTACTCAATGTGTGCATATAGGCGTAGCATCTAATATAGTAACAAGAAATGACTGCATTGAACTTCTTATGTAAACTCTTTCTTGGTCCATTGCGAAGAAGAGTTGACACTTGTGGTTTGTCTTGGGTTTACAGATATTGTTCAGAAAAGCTTTTGACTTGTTTCTGTTTGCTTCATGTACATATCAGAGACATTTCCCAAAGTTTATATAGTAGTCGCTGTTATTTAAAGTGGTATTTGGGTACTAAACGTTTCCTGTTACACCTCAGGGCATCAAACCAATGCAAGTTTTTCAGTTGGATTTTACAAAAATAAGATTATAATTATTTATTTGGCCCTTATAGATTAAATTTATAAGCCCAGAGCTTTTCCTGATGCATACAAGTGATTAATTCAAGAAAAGTTTGTCACACTGCAGGACATTTGAAAGATTTTGCTTAAAAAAAGTTACAATATCTACAACCCAACTTGCCTGTCACTATGTGTAATTTATAGAACACATCAGTGTGCACTGATGAGTTGAATGATGCAGGAAGAAAAAGATTAAGCAAGCAGTTTCAAAAGAACCCAGAAAATGGACGTCACGTCGTCAAGTAGATTTACAGATTAGAAAATGTGCTACAAGGTGTTACATTGTCAAACTTCTTTTGACAGTGAGTGACACAGCAGTGGTTTCAAGGCTGTGAGAAAGAGCTACAGCTCAACAATGATTCAGCGAAGTCTGGTCTTTTGGTTCTTCTCACAGCTGACTGTTAGATCATACGCAAACCATGCTCCTACACTGACATTTGACATTTGACATTGCATAGACAGTACTGGCCTCTATTTTTGTAAGTTTTTAGTCAATAAATATGAAAACAATTTGTAAGACTGTAGGTTTTTAGTTTTTTAGCTTATGAATTGGTCAATGGGGATAATGGATACTTAACAATATATAAGAGTTGACTTGAGTCAACCAAAAAAAATGTTTTTGTTGATTACGACCCTACAATCTTGACTTGGAGTAAAAGCACCTGGAGCCGCTTTGATTAATTTGATTCATTTTCAAGTCCTCCTGACTCCAACTATAACAGTGAGACTAAATCTTTGAGCCCAAAGTGAATCCTCAAGTTTATATTTTATCTATTAATACATAATCATGTATTGGCTTAAGGTGAGAAGTAACTTTCTATTCATATAAAGTTTAATCACTGTATTAACTGAGATGATTTGTTACATTGGTTAATAATGTGCATATTTGGAAACTTAATATTTCAACACAAACATGATTTGATGAAACTCACCACAACAAACACGCATTAAACAGCTTGTGTCCAGCCGCTGCGTTGTATCCACCCTCTCTGTTTTCTAAATAAACATGATTTTCTCATAGTTCAGGGCCAGTGCTGGTCCCAGTTTGACTATAGCCATTATCGTAGAGCTCTATTTCCTGCCCATTCAACCACAACACACACACACACTGTTTACACTGGTCACCTTTGGAGAGTGTTTCCTTTAATAAACTTTGCCACTGTTTCCTGATCATGTTCACACTACATTCCTCTTCTGTAATTTGCCATTTAAAAAAAGAAATTCAACAAATGACTATTAATGTTCTTGAAATTTCAATTTGCATGACTAACACAAATCACAATCACAAAAAGTGCATTTATTTAGGTAAACTATTCACTTTATTTTAAAACATTTACAACAGGATATTTCACAAAATCATTTAGCCCTATTTTAATGTATTTCTTCTATTACTAAATTTTAAAATAAATTATGACTACAATGTCAAATACAATTGCAAAGATGTTGAAAGCTTCAGCATCTGGTTCAAGCAATGTGAAAATAAAAGTTCCTTTGCTTGTCACTTTTACCTACTTCCTGTCTGCAGTGCTGTTTTTTGTCTCGTAGCTCTCAGTGATTCAGAAATATTATTTTTGGCTTAGGTTTATTTCTGTTTCTGACGAACTCTTCATTTAGGCTAAAGTGTAAGAGCATTATTTATTAAGCTTTAGTCAAAACAGTTTTTTTGTTGTCTGTAAAGGAACTATATGTACCTTCTGCTTATGCTCTTACTACTAACTACAGATAAATCAGCATTACACTTGTTATTTGGTTTGAATATACCTACCTTGTATCTGGAGACACAGTAAGGTTATGCAAATGGATTTAAGATCAAAATCTTGCAGACGCTTCCTTTTAATGTAGAGAGCATGGTGCCTATGAAGTTGAATATTAACATGTGTCCATTAGCATATAAACCAGACCAGTGCTACAAACTGCTAGCACTTTTACTTTCTTGTATAGACTACTCTACAGCAATTATATTCTGTATCTCATAACATTTACAGAGAACAAAAGCATTGGATTTTCTCACTGGCTGCGCTGCCCTTGAATGACAATCTTCCGGGAAAGTGCTCTATCAAACACTCCGATATGAGTCATTTATGTCGATGGAAGTCGTCATGAATAAATAAGCCACTGTTTTTCCTTTCACGTCTTTGCCTGTTGTTTTGAGCGTGGACTTATGTATTATTCAGCTGATTTGCAACCAGGAATATCAGAACTGTTGAGAAATGAACTCTGTTTACCATTAGCATAGCGCGGCTAAAAATATCAACATCACAAACTGAGTTGAGTCATTTTGAACTAACACAATTTGGTGGCAATGGAAATCTCTCAAAATTTTGCACTAGGTAAACTGTGATTTACGGCATTGTATATTATTGGATGGCGCAAATATGGCGGTGTATTTGAGTTATTTATTCTTTTGAACTTTAGTGTCTTTTCACACACACCATGTTTAGGTTTTTCATGTATTTTTGTTTGTCAGAAGGGTTTGATTGACATAGGTGTGACAGTATAGTGTTTTTTGAGAAAATATTCAGTGTTCAGTTTTGATCCCAGCTTTGTATGGATTATGGTTCCTCAAAGTATCAAAAACCAGTATTGAAACTAGATTCTCTTTTGAGCCTGTATTGATGCAAAAAATGTCACATTCACAAATTAAACTTTTCTGAAAGCTTTAGGGTGGTAAGACCACATGGATTAATATACATCCATAGAATATGGGTCTATGAAACCTACCAGGACGACTGAGGGATTACATAGATATAACACCACATGGTAGTTTTAAACAAAGTACTGTTATTTAATGTTGAAAATCACACTATATTGTCTAAAGATTGTGTATCACCATTGTACAGCACTGAATATCATTCTATTTCTTACTATCAAAATCGAGTTTGAAATTTAAGTATCATGACACGGACAAAACTCCCATTTAGGCCTTGGCTTTTCATTTTAGAAGTAATTCTTATAAATTCTTATCTCCTGACATAGTATGAAAAATGTTTTCATACTTGACCTTGGCGTAGTTACTCCAACTAAATGGTTCATGACTTTCTGATTTTCAACATTAAACTATTGTCTTCTTATATATGAGTTGATGGTCTGGTGATTTGATGGTCCGAGCTGCAAAAAAGTAACAAAGCAAAAATGTTGATAACAAAGAATAAAAAAGATAAATAGTTTTAAGTATTTATTTAGATAACCACTGAAGTGCCTTTGTATAGAAATACAAGATAAGAAAATTTATTTGATTACTTTTTTTTGGAACCCATAACTAGTCATAATTGAGGTCTCCCTCTAGCAAACTGACTGTCCTTGAAGATTTATGAACATGAAAGCCGCTGTTTTAAGACATTTAAAAAAGAAAAAGCTGCCTATATGCACTCCCATAACTATACCACCCTGTTACTGTTATCCCAGGACGGAGAGGCGCTATGTGGAGATCTACTGGAAGGAGGTTCGAGTGGGCGACTTCATTAGACTGAGATGTAATGAGATCCTGCCCGCTGACGTCCTGCTGCTCAGCTCCTCTGACCCAGACCGCCTGTGCCACATCGAGACGGCCACGCTGGACGGAGAGACCAACTTGAAGCAGAGACAGGTGGTCCGCAGCTTCTACGACCTGGTGAGAGGACTACACAATGACACACACACTCTGTACTGTACTGTCTCTTCTGTGAGGGACAATGGTTACAGTGCTGACTTAAGTATACACTATTCCAGCCCAGTGTTAGCCAACCACAAGATCTATCCGTAATAAAATTTGTACCGTTGTTAGGGTAATTAACCATTTAAAACTGTAAAATATTATATCTCATAAATGGGGTTATGGATTAGGTGATGTTGTTCTTACAATGATTTATTGTTCAGGTACCTATGATTTCTATTAAGAATTTTAGTGCTGCTCTACGTTCCCATCTTTGTTTAAAAAATATGCCCCCACAGTTCTAGATTTCCATGTTTGTAGGGTTAGGGTTAGGGTTGGGCAGGGTGAGGGTAGGAGTTGTGGATTTAATAGAAACATACATAACTGCACTCTCCTCTGTGGTAGCCTTAGACTCCTCTGAATTTATCTTTCTTTCCCCATTTCAAGTGCTATATTGTTTGATTTTACATAGTTGAAAGCTTTGTCCTATCATGTGCTTGGATAAAGACAGCTCAACTCAAGGGCTGCTCCTATTGTGTTATTGTTTTTTTTTTTGTTTCTTTGTCAATATTAAATTAGTTTGCTTTGTTTTGTTTGAAGTCACATAAACAAACATTTCCAGTAACTATTACACAACCTGAACAACATTTTATTTAACACGGTGATGTCTTCCACTGGTAAAATAGACAATGATCTTTTGTTTGTGTTACAGGATTGTGACTTTGACCCTCTGAAGTACAACAGCGTGATTGAATGTGAAAAACCCAATAACGACCTGAGCAGATTCAGAGGTTACATGTGAGTACCGATGTTTCACCTTTGACCTTTGACCTTCTCATCAAATGTAAACAAAAACAGTTGCTTTACATTAGCCGTATTTGGGTGGAAGTTATTTTATAAATGCAGTTTGATGAGCCACAAGGGACCCAGCTTATAATTATGGCTTAAACCGTTTTCCAAACAGGGATATGATTCAGCATTGTGGCATGTGGTTTCAATCTTGTCTCTATTGGTGTCTGTGCTTTTCACCATGTAGTGTAGTGTTTAACCTTTACATTATTGCATTTCGTAGTCAATGTAATTCTTCTCTGCTCTGGTTCTCTGCTATCATTAAGAATTATAGCTTTAGTTTGTGTGGCTTTACAGTACATAATTCATTCACTCCCCGGTTGCACTCATTGGTGATAAGCTACTTTTGTTGCCACATATAATGTACAGTCAAAACAGCCCTACGGCAAGTTAATCAGAATACTGGCTGTCATTCTGTGCCAATGGGACTGACAATTTGCACAAACACATTGCAGTATGTTGTTGTGACAGTAACAGAATAGAAATAATCAATTTTAGTATCATTTCATCCTAAACTTAAAGGTGTACTACATAACGTTGCTGGTGGATGGAGCTGAAGGATTTTATGTTCCATAGTATTACATTAAGCTTTTTTACCTTGCATTTATTCAATTACACGCGTTACAATAGAGGTCTATGCGGGACAGAATGTTCAGTCCTGCTCCCGTTCGCACCTGCATTGTACAGTCCTGCTTCCACCCGCGCCTGCAAAGAATTGTAATTTTCAGTCCCGCTCCCGCCCACAAGCCCCACAAGTCCCGCAAGATGGGGACGTTTGCTTTCTTAAACTCTATCAAACATGGAGAAGCTGAAAGCAATTGTCTAAAATGTGCGCGAGATTAGACCACATACACAAATTTAGGCTGCTTAAAATGATTTTATTAAAGCCAAATAAAATATCCAGCACAAATTATGCATGATAGGCACATATTCATCATTTGTATATTTTACTTTACAGTCACATTTAGTTTGCGGCACTGCAGTTTATCATCCCACGCGCCTGCTGTGTTACAGTCCAGCTCCCACCCGCATCGGCAATGAGCTTTCAAAATGTGTCCCGCGCCACACTGTTTTGCGTCAGGTCCTGTGGGTCCCATGTACAATACCTTGATAAACATGCATTCTTACTGTAAACAAATCTTACCTGTTACTTGTTTCAGTTGGATCACCTGCTTGTCAACATTGATATAGATAAGTTTAATGCCATACTGCGAAACACTCCAGACATTTCTACGCATTGTTGTTTAGGTAGTTAAATTCATGCCAACAGTGACATGCTTTAAGGTTCAATTGAAACACACAACCTGCCATATTTACCATGTAACTTAGGCTTTTATAACACGCCAGATTTAAATAAACTGTGTTGGCGTATGTTGTAATTGAATCTCTTTACCATATTCATGCTTAGCCCCCAGCTGCTGTCACTCAACCTTAAGTGAATTTGTAAAGTTTGTATAGCATACAGGAGGTGAATGCAGTCCCAGAGAGGTGTGTGGGATATCCCTTTCCTCATCACACGATTCAGACAGCTTCTCTGTGTTCCGGACCAGACCAGATGCTGTGGGTGTCTCTGTTGCCAGGCTGCACTCGAGCCGTTTTATTACATTACAACCAACAACACAGGAGCTAATCTGTCTGCCCCTGGGTGGACGGGGAACGCCTCTGGTCTCCAAATGTTATCAATTCGTCCTACAGTTAGTGAGCCATGAGAGATGTGTTGTGTATATTTGCTCACGGAGGCCTACAGTTGTTACTTTAGGTGCAGTTTGACTTTATTAGTCAAGTAGTGTGATTGGGGTTGAAGAGTGGGTAGAGACATTTGGCAAATTCCATAATACTGAGGCTGGCGCAGAGGATGGCATCTGCGCTGTGACTGAAACTTTATTTAAACTGACAAAATATACATAGATAAAATATAATATGTGATGACTTTTTTATGTGTTAGCTTGGCATGTTTTTTTAATGCACTCTTTTAACTTCGTATCACTAGCAATAAGTCTGAGTAAAATTACACTCCAGAGAGAATGCAAGACCTTGTGTTGTCCTCACAAAGCACATGAATCAGGCGTGTGTGCCTGAAATGTAGGCGCGGGGTCTCAGGGTCAGTGCAATGAATCTGTGCTGCTGCTGACGTGTTGGACATTGCTGCTGTCAGAGGCCAAAGGATCAGCGGTGCTGTTTGTAAACATGTGACTGACTGTACTGAGCGTGTCTGAAGAGCTGAGAAAGTGCGCTAAGGCAGGATTGAGCTAAATAAACAATGTTCATTTTAAAGAGAAAAGAGATATGAAGCAAACTTATTGTTCAGAGACCGGCAGTTCAGCATTTTGTCCTATCTCACACTGATTTGTGAGACAGTTTTTTGGATCCTGTATAGAACAATGCATAATTACATTAATATATAGGTATAGAAGAGCAATGTAAAAATAATCAAAGGGTAAAAAAAACAAATTGTGTATTATTATTATTATTTTAATGAAAAACAAATAAAAATGCCTTTTAATGTTAAATATTAGGAACATAATCAAGACTTTAAAGCTACCATCTGTAGTTAGACTGGCCCACTCTGCCCTGTTGTATTCTCACAGAACACCGCTAGATGCTGTCTACATTACTGCAGTCTGACAGTGTGCCAACTTTGGCCTCACAGAACAAGATTAGAGAGCACAGGTGAGAGTGAACAAAGGCCAGGGGAGGGAAGGGAGGAGCAAGTTTTCACATATGTTCTGTATTTGTATACAGTCATTATCAATAAGAGAGACTCCAACACTGGACACTTTCAAATCCCACTTGAAACAGTGGCTAAAGGAAAAACAGACTGTTAGTTTAGACCTGTCACTTGTTATTGTTGTTTTTTCTCTGTTAAATTTGTGGTGTTACCTTCCTCGAGACTACAGATGGAAATTAGTTTTTGCTATAATCTGTCATATTTACACTGCAGTGTTGTAAATGTTCATTAATATGCACAGTCCCTATTAAATAAATAAATAAATAAATACATAATACATTTTTTATCAAATAATCTTACAGATGGTAGCTTTAAATCAGTTCTATTTAGCACAAATAGTATTCCTCCAAGGTCTGTTTGCTTGTACTTGTACTTGCTTGTAATGCTTTTACTGTCAGAGACCTGGCTGTAGCCCTCTTGATTAAAAAGAGCCATGATTATTATTGATGTTTTGAAGCAACTGGATCTGGATTCAGCTCAAGCTAACAGTGTCACTAACAACAATTACTCCTGTCATTAAATTATCTTGATTTACTTCACAACCTGCACTATTAGGTTAAATGGACTTCCTGGGTCATCCCTCATAGTGTACTTCACTGTTATGGACATTATTGGCTTTCCCTGAGTGCTTGGTCTGAGCTGTGAGGGTCAGGTGGAGGCAGCAGTTGTCAGACTGCTATTTGTGCTGACAACAGGACTCTGCATGATGCTTTACACTGTGATCAATAGACATGCCCAGAGGAGGACCGATGGCATGTTTTGGGCTTTTGCACCAGAGGGATTCTCCCACTTTTTTCCTAACTCAGCATTTTTACATTTAAGGACTTACTGTCATTTTCTGTTCCTAATGATGTCCTGTACCAAACCCTTCCCTGCTGCTTTGAAACTTGTTGTTTCTGAAATGTTGTTGTCAAGATTGTTTCAGATTATATTACTGTCACAAAACATCTCATTTTATTGGCTCAAACTTCAAAGCAAAACCATTTGCTGTTGAATATTTTAGAAAAGCTCCCCATGATACTGTACTTTGTTTATGAAGTGCAGAGTGGAAAAATGTGCTCCCTATTGTTTTTCTCTTGCGTAGATGGCTCTAGTCTGTACAAATCTGTAGATATTTGTTTTAAGGTTTGCCAATAGCTCATCATTCTACATTTTTTACACAATAACAGCATAACAGGGTGACTCACCTCTCAACAAGATGGTCCCAGATTCAAGGTTTATAATAAAAATACCTATCAATAAATGCATAAAATATTTCTGCCAAATTTCTAGTAAATACCACAACCCTTTTTGACAGTGAATGGAAAGTCTAAACACACACTCCTATTTCTTTCCCTGATAGAATCCACCGGAATGGGAGAAGAGATGCACTTTACAAAGACAACCTGCTGCTTAGAGGCTGCACCATCCGAAACACTGAGGAGGCCGTGGGGATCGTCATTTACGCAGGTCTTACCAGCTACTAATATTTGTGTTACTACTAATGTCTATTCAACCTTTAGTGTACTCCCTGTCCTTACTCTGTGCGTGTGCCCAGGTCACGAGACCAAAGCCATGCTGAACAACAACGGGCCACGGTACAAGCGCAGTAAACTGGAACGACAGATGAATGTGGACGTGTTCTGGTGCGTCATCATTCTCCTCGTCATGTGCCTCTTCGCTGCTGTGGGTAAGAACCTGATGTCTGGGAACTAGGGGAGGTTTTTAGAAAGCTATCATGAACTGATCTTAAATTTTTGTTGTGATTATTGTTGGCATTTTATATGTTGTGACAGACGAGTACAATTTCACCTCATGCTGTGTAGGATATTGAATAGAAATGAAATTACATATGAAGTACCAAGATAAACAAGGTGCGTGGTAGACGACAGACCTATGTCTCCTGTGGTTCTTTCATCTATTTTATCTCGTGTTGACCTTGTTGTATACTAAAAAATACAGTTAAGAGTTAGTTTTTCTCGATTAATACCTCCTTAGGCCCACATGCACTGAAAATATAGTGTTCTAATTGTGGGGAGGTTTGGGTGTCTAATCTCATCAATCTGTGTATGCCTTTAACACAGAGCAGTGGATAATCTGCTGGTATTGCTTTCTTTGCCTTGTTGACAAGTTACCAGATTTGTTTACATAATTTAAAGATCCCCAAATTATCCCTCTAGATTTGAATTATAAACCAAATACTACCCACTGTGACCTTTGCAATTCCCAGTAAAATTTAAACGTAATTTTCTTGCAGTAGCCTCAGTGTGTTTATATGTTCTGACCTTGTGGTGTTCATGCAGGTCACGGGCTCTGGATGTTTCAGTACCGCGATAAGAGGCCAGTATTTGACGTCCTGAGTCCAGAGGGGACTGACTTATCGCCCATAATGTCCGCCATCTATCTCTTCCTCACCATGATCATCGTCTTTCAGGTAAAAAACCTAAAGAAAGTGTCCCCAAACAAAAGCAGCAGTGACTAAAATGAATGGGGTTATAAAACAGTAGTTGATGTTTTATCTTACTGTGTAGTGTTTAAGATTATCACTGGCCCAAGGGTGAGTTTGACCTCTAGATGAGTATCTTTATACCTGCAATGCATTCATGCTGCACTGGACATGCTATCTCAGAAATATGCTTCAGAAATATCTACTATAAAATTGTGAAATAGAGCCACATGACAGTTATTGATCGCTGCTTGAGGCTTAAAAATGTCAAATTGTGAAGTACTGGGCAAGAGATAGGTTTTTGTGAGAAACTATGGCCAAAGGGATAGAAAGAAACCGATATCAGATTTTCAATCCATAGGAAGGGGGCTCTATGCTGTAATGTCACTGCCCCGACTGCTACACTGCAGTGCCCTCGTCCCCACAAGTTAATTCAGTGGATAATGCTCCTTTCATTGAAAAACCCTGATATCTCTTTCTCTTTATCTATTCAATTCTATTATGCAAAATTTACTCTTGTGAGCTTTTATCCAGATTATAATTAGGGGTGTGCAAAAATACTGAAATATATATATATATATCGTATCGTTTAATGTGATGATACACTATCGATATCGTGGGCTGCTGTATCGATATAACTCCAAGATTTTTTTTTTTTGTATATTTTACTAATTTATTTTGTTACAGTGCTACAGTTTAGTTTCTTGTTCAGAGGAAGGAAACTTGTTTACGCAGCACATTTAAGATTTTCAATCTTCTGATGATTAAAATGGGTGTGTTTCATATTCACTTTGCACAAGAAATGGTTTGACAAAGAGTTTAATATCACAGCCACCATTTAGCCACTAGTTTTTACTGAACCGTATCAAATCGATTTGAAATATATCGTATCAAATCGAAAGCTTGCTGTATCGAGATATGTATCGTATCATGGCCTATGTATCGTATCGGCAACTTCTTAATGTTACCCAGCTCTATTTATAATGTTGTTAACTCCTCATAAACATACCCAGAGTTGTATTTTGTTTCATTCACACATTTGAGTAATTCTTTATTATTAATCTGTCTACATCTCCAAAGCTCAAAATGCCCCGTTTCACCTTGTGATGTCATATGTCTTTGTACATTTAGTTCAGTAGATACTGGGAATTCCTTGATTCCCCGACTAAAATGATCCAAATGATTCTAGTAAAGGTGGAGTTTAAAAACACAGTGGAGCACTTCTTGTATTACCATACAACATCACAAGGTGGAAGTGAAGTGTTTTCTGTTTAAGAGAAGAACTCACCCTAACACAACACTCCGGGTATGTTTGTGATAAGAAAACAACATTAGATCAAAGAATAACACAATATGGGCCCTTAAATAACCAAAATAAAACTGAAGTACTTCTTGCTGCTAACCGTATTGCCTACTCTACAAAATCCATTTCCATTGCTGTGTGTACAAATATAAAGTTGTGAAAGGGGTTGCCTCACTGGTATTGATTGTGGCTTTGGGCTTAGCAGTCTCAGACGCAGTGTCACCTTGTCCCATGTCAGAGAAGGGAGTGAATTGCCCTAAATAAAACAGATTATGGACTGGCCTCATTGGTCTTATACAAACAGTAGCATTGACCCAGTCCGCTCTCAGTGAATACATGATTTTATGCTCCAGGATGATCAAGCACAGGGCTGGAGTAGGCCCTCTAAAGCTATGAGTCATTTCTTCAGAACTCTTTATTTAATGTTTCATGGAAATTCTCATTCTTTCCATATAAATAGGTACTGGTGAAATCCATGCATTGTGTTATTTTTGTAGACCTTATTGGAAAGTTGTAATCATGGAGTCTTAATATCCAGTAAATGTTACACAATTTCTACAGTTTATTCTTGCATACATTCTCATATTAGATAGGATTAGGTTTTATGTCAGATGCCCTTTCTGGCTTGAGAAAACAAGATGGCACAATAAGTGAAGGAGTAAAATAATAATATGATCATTTTTTTGTTACTCTGTTTTTTATTTATGCATAACATTATTTGATATAAAAATGTAACACAGTATTTCAAACTTTTGAAATAGTATAAACTTTTTAACAATTACCAAAAATGTTGCCTTCAGTAGCTTTATATATGAAGTAGCATACTTTACTCTTCTGTTTGTGATTCCAATTTCGTTTTGCAAATGGGCCTATACTCTCTGTCCACTTTGTATGCTTACTTTGAGCGTACACCTCTAGTCTGTAAGAGATTGGCAAATAAAACTAGCACCCTTTAGTCGTTCGGAACCATTAACTTCCTCATTGGGTCTTGATTTAGTGATCCAAGTTCCAATCTCCTAGCAGTTGAAAGCACTCTGTACTTGTGTGCCTGTTTGATGAATGAGAAAGCCATTTCCCTGCTCTATCCCCCTGTGTCCTCTGCAGGTGCTGATTCCCATCTCGCTCTTCGTGTCCATTGAGATTGTGAAGATTTGCCAGGTTTATTTCATCCACAATGACCTGGAGCTGTACGACGAGGAGACCGACTCCCATCTGCAGTGCCGGGCCTTGAACATCACAGAGGACCTGGGTCAAATGCAGTACATCTTCTCTGATAAAACTGGCACACTTACCGAGAACAAGATGGTGTTTCGGCGCTGCACTGTGGCTGGGGTAGAATACTCCCATGATGCTAATGGTGAGAGAAATCTGATGAGTTAAATACAGTATCAAAGAAGTTTATATTGATTTATATTTTGTGTGACATATGCATTATTTTCCTTTGAAATATTGATTGAAAAGCTCAAACCCATGCCATGACCTCTTATTTGTTGGGTGTATCTAAAAAAGTCAATTCATGTTTTAAATTTAGTAAAAAGTTCTTACGTTTTCATTCAAATATTTTAAATTTTTTCTCATCAAAGAACAAACAAGATTCATTCAGTCAGTGTATTTCCATTGTAGTCTTCCTTTGTCATGATGGAGTCAAAACAAATAAAAAAACAGCTTTGAAACTTTCTAATGTGGTTGGTTAAGGAAAAGTAACCATTACCACAGTTGGAGCTAAATCACTAGTTGCAGTTGAATTATTGCCATCACCGCTGTAATTACACAACCACTGGCTCTTCTCTGTTTGCTCAGTTGAATCCAGGCGTGACTCATTTAACCCTCTGTGCATTCAGACCATTCAGAAGTGTCACTTTCATCTGTCGACAGCCCGGAGACTGGCCATGTACCAGGAGGTAGACTCAGAGGAGGAGGAGTGCATGTCTCATGGAGGGACCTTGCCCAGGCGGGACAGTGTGACAAGTCACCAGAGCGCCCGTGTGGTCCTCAGGTCCCAAAGCACAAAGTCACACCGCCGAACAGGCAGCCGAGCAGAGGCCAAGCGCGCCAGCATCCTGTCCAAGCACACAGCCTTCAGCAGCCCTATGGTCAGTCTAGTCACCTCCTTTTCTTTTTTTTTGTTGTTTGACGTGGGGCTGGGCGATATGACCAAAGAAAAATCATCATGTGGATTACAATGACAATTACAATGACTCAACTCTCAAAATGATTCACACATTTTTTTTTATAATGATCTTTCTTTTGAACATAAACAAGACAGAAATTTAATCCGTGCCACAACACAAGAAATAGTTAAATTTATTCCTTCAAACTTTGAACTCTCATTCAAACTACATGCTTTTGCTGAACTGTTGATTAAAAAGACAAAGGTATATTATTGACTAATGGTTCTGGATTCTAATAAAATATGATTCATTGCATCAATTTAGTTTGAGGTATCACATTTCCAGTGCATCTTTTTATATACATATTTACAAATGCAATAGAATCTAAGAGTCATATTTCTTGTAAACCTTTTGTGTTTTGAAGCAATGTGTACTTTAGAATATTTATCAATCGAATAACTGGTTTTATCTCCTAGGGGCAAGCTAAGCTATAGACTATAGATTCTGAATGTTTATTACAAATTGTAGAGTCAAACAAGCACAAATATATGATGCATACAATAACACACACATTCTCCACCTGTTTGTCCCATAGGAGAAAAACATCACTCCGGACCCTCAGCTCCTGGACAAAGTGAACGAGTGCAGCAGTCAGATGGACTTCATGCGCTTCCACAGCCAGTCCCTGTCCACACTGCCCTCTGACCTCTGTGATACCATCGACTTCTTTATCGCACTCACCATCTGCAACACTGTGGTGGTGTCCTCCCCCAACCAGCCCCGTCAGAAGGTACCAACAAACACCTTTTGCCCAAATATGTTTTCCCGTTACACTATTTTTCTACCGATTGAGTAAACAATGACCTCATCCCATGTAAGTTCCTGTAGCAAAATTGTGGTTTACCTAAAATAGTAGCTTCTTTTTGTCAAGTCATTGCAAGTCAGCAGCACAACACTGTATCTTTAGTAAAGCAAGATTATATGCACAGTGTTTGTGCTGAATAAACATGATACACATTGCAATATATAATTTAAAGCTGGAGAACATTTTCCTTTTCATTCAGCCACTGCAGGTCTCCAAACTAAAAATGCAAGGTGTGTGCCACTGAAATGTAAGCAAGTAATTTGCAGAGTACATGTTCAAGGTGAGATAAAAGTGAGAATTATACTAGTAGCTCTCTAAAACCTCAAAAAAGTACTGGCTGTTTCTATATCCACAGCTTTTGTAAATTTGTGCAATCATATATAATCTGTGTCAGTATGTTTTTATTTTAGAGTTTGCCTCACTGCAACATGTGACTAAGAAGCATCAAATAATAGTTGTGTAACACTGAGCTCACTTGTCTCCAAACATGTGTATTCAAAAGTTATTGTTTCTTTTCTTTTGAACTCTTCAGGAGCAGTTCCCTTCAAAAATGCGTACCTCGTTACTTTGGCTTCAAAAATGTTAAAATGGTCCAAATTTCTCCCGCTGGTGCACGTAGTTCCAGTATTTTTGTGTCTAATGTTTGAAGTTCCACTCTCTGCGGTGTATCCGTTTTTTGTTTTGGGACGGCCTGGGTGTGTACTGTCCTGTCTAGAGCTTACAACTACAAATCTTCATGAAGTAAATGTTGTAACGGGTGAGATGAGATAAGATGGAGGGGAACTGAAATGTGCACAGAAGGAGCAGTTTGTACTGTTTATTATATTTTTGACCTGTGTTTGTTTAGAGTTACAGTCACACATTTAAGGTGCCCTTGTGGACACTATAAAACCTGAGTGAATTATGCAGGGTGTGGGCGGCTTCTCCATGGGCTGAACAGGACAAACAACGTCACTTTGCATTGTACATTTTGTGCTAAGTAAATTTGATCTTGGACAATTTGTACATATTTCTACAATAGCAACTTGTGTCAATAATTGTAAGTTAAAAAGAATAGCAGGTAGTTGTAAAATTTGTGTAGCAGAAGACAAGAGTACTGAAATAATCGCATTGAGTCCAGTGAAAGATTATGTACTTAATAACAGAGGAACTTTATTGATTACCAATTGTTGATGTATACCAGTGAGGGCGACAGAGTAAACATAAACAATATGGAGAATTACTAATATGTGAATGAAACAAAAGACTAATAAATAACATTATTTTAAGTTGCAGCATTGTGAAATGGTTTAAAGCTCAAAAAAGTATACTTTACATAATATACACCTTCAAATGTAGAGCTACTAAAAAACTAAACTGAGGCTCATTTGTGAGATATTTACCAATCTCTTTCCAACACCAATTTTGTGTGTCTCAGGTGAGGATGCGTTTCGAGCTGAAATCCCCGGTTAAAACCATCGAGGACTTCATCAAACGCTTCACCCCAAGTCGCCTGACCTCCGGTTCCAACAACAGCAGCTCATCCAGCCTGAACCGCTCCAACCAGCGCGGGAATTCCAGCCTGGTCTCCTCCCCCTCGGCGGACAGCACCCTCACCAAGCTGGATGAGGAGAAGAGCCCCCCGGACCTGCAGCATGCCTTCACCGCCATTCCCCAATGTTTTGATCCCGCCAAGGCCTGGAGACTGGAAGAGGGAGAGCTGAGATATGAAGCAGAGAGTCCAGACGAAGCAGCTCTGGTCTACGCTGCCAGGGCCTACAAATGTTCACTTGTGGGACGCCTGCCCGACCAGGTCACAGTGGAGCTGCCCCATCTGGGTAAACTGAGCTTCGAGCTGCTGCACACACTGGGGTTTGATTCAACGAGGAAACGCATGTCTGTGGTGGTCCGCCACCCACTCACCGACCAGATCACTGTGTACACCAAAGGAGCCGATTCTGTCATCATGGACCTCATCAGACCACCCGATACAGGTGAGGAACATTTTCAAATGATATTGACTGCTCGAATTAGGAATGTGGAAAAGCATTCTGAGGTGAGACAATTTAAAAATCATATGTGACTAATGCAGTTCCGTTTGATGCTGCCTGCTGGCGCAAAATGTGTTAGCTTCACCCCCTAAGGTTTCTATGACGTAAGTTTCTGAGCTTTATTGGGATATCAGAATAAGTCAGAAAGTGCAGACATTTGTCCTATCTTCAGATATAGATAATGGCCACACATGAACTATCTCTCTCTTATAACTGCTGGATGGCAAAACAAAACTGAACTATCTGTATTTGTTCATTACAGCTGTATACCAAAACTTTTTCAAACCAGTTCCCTTAAACTTATTTTGTTGAAAGTCATACAAAAATATAACATGTGAAAAGTTTGTATTCTCAAAACTTTTATAAGGCAAAACATTTATAAAAGTTTGTATTCTCATTTGTGAAACTCTGTATTCTCAAAACATTTATGAAGCACTCCTAGGTCAGATTTTGTGCCCTGGCAAAGGTTAAAAAGGTTACCTGTCACACTGCTTGGTCTAATATTTTTGATGAATAACTGAACATTTTTCTAATTACTGGAACAAGATGTATCTATGGATAATCCAGACCAATTCAGCAATGCATTATCAAATACTTTCCAAATCTCGTTTAGCATAAAATTGTAATTTATTTATTACATATAATCCTTTAATAATTAATAATTTCACTACATATAACATAAAATATGTATCCATACAATGATATCTTTTCTCTTTTAAACAATTTTACATTGTGCTAAGCCATAATGAAGACAATGGGGGAAAAAAAGGGGGGGAAAAAAAGTCTACTGAACCTACTACTGTATGCATGTATGAAGTAACAGCTGCCCTGTCCATAACTTGAAAGTACAGTAGTTCCCATGATGCATCTGGCTGGTGTAGCAGTGCAGCGGTCTCATGATGTGATTCTTTGAGTCTGTCAGCTGACCACAAATCCACAAATCCTATCTGCTCATCTTCACGAGACACTGGACTCTTGCCGTGTCAGTGAATACTCCACATTCCTTATTCACTTCACTTGATGTGCACGGTAGATTCACCAAGAACTTGACCTGTACAGATGTGCTCTTTTGTCTTTTTAATACATGTTTGTCTTACTGTAAACCTTTCATTATGCTATTTAAAACCTATACAGTTTCATTCAACAAAGCATGAATTATAGTCTGTCACAAGCTGCTCTTGTTTTGATTAATTGCAATAACTCACTGTAGATTCACCAAGAACTTGACCTATATGGATGTGTTCTTTGTCTTTTTATGTACATTTTTATCTTACTGCAAACCTTTCATAACATGCAAATTAAAAACCTATACAGTTTCATTTAACAAAGCATGAATTATAGTCTATTGTAATATTACTTGTTTTCATAAGTTGTAATATCTCAAGTTATTTCAGAAATAACACACAAGTTTCCTACTAGTATAATAAATCATAAACCACTGGCATTTTTACCATCTGAATTTCTGAAACATTCTTAACTGTTTGGTCCCTTGTAAAATTAAATGGTAAAAAAGCTATTTGTGTCTTCACAAAAGGCTCTGCATCTGCCCAGCAGTTCTAACCTTCTCTTTGCCTCTTTGCTTTGTATATGAGCATATTTTGGGTCGTGCCTTCTCGACTGGACTTTTTGTCATTTCCAACACACCCCTCGCATTCACGTTTTCCACTGATGTAAAGTATACACTCCAATGTTATGTAAGCACCCATGTTTTTATTTCTGCTCCTCTCAAAGCTCGCCTTCACTGCTCTCTGGAAAATCTCGTCTTTATGTGCTCGTTTTAAGAGTGGCTCTTTCTCCAGCTCTGTAAATGGCAAAGGTGTAGCAGCTTGTTTGTATTCCAGGCACACACAGGGTCACAATGGCACCTTTTTCTAATGCTTTGTACATGGTCAACAGAGGGCAATCCAAAGGTGCTTAGCTGAGACCATTTCAGATCACAAAGTCAAGCTTTTTTGACAAAACATGGCTTGTATTGTGGCAAAAAAGAATGATTTTTGTGTGGTATTTTTGTTGTAGTGGATGGAATGGAACAACGCTAGCATTTACTTTATATGATTAACGTGAGGATTGTGTAGATAAAGTATACATAAAAAAATACAAAACATGGCCACTAAGAATTTGGTACGCATGAAAAAACTAAAGTATACAGTAAGTATGACGAGAACAGGTTGTAGGATTTCCCTTGGTTATGTGGTCTGCCTCTGCCATAATTTTGCATCAGCAGTGAAGTGGTCTACCATAGCCCACTAGAGGAATAGGTCTTTACCATTTACCCTTTTATTTAATCTTATAAATAAACAAGGGGCATTTCCCAGCCCAATTTATGGAACTACAAATGCATATGTATCTTTATGTCATTTACAAACATGAACTGATCTACCTGTCACTTATATTATCCACTATTTAGAAATTCATTTAGACTTATTGAGTTAAACAGCTGTTGCCTTACTGTGTGGGGGGTAATGGGTTTTATTGAGATGCCTTGTTAGTGGCCCCTGTCTGTTCATTACAGAGAGCTCATGAGGCTCTGGACTAAATGACTTCTCAGTGAAGCAAATTATATCCTCTCCCGATTTTTTTTACATGTTGTTTGTACCATTAAACAATATGATCCATTGAAGTCATTGCCTTACCTTTGGGTGGTATGAAATGTAATTGTGATTATCTTACTGACCCTAAGACAGATCTGCCTACTTTGAGAGCATCCTTGCTATATTGTGATGCACTGCAATTTCATTTTTCACACTCTCCACACTCCTTCTAATGATCAGTCCCTGTTATGCTATCAGTGAATGATATAGATTTTTAATTAATCACAGAAGGGTAAAAGTTCCTAATTCAAACATAAATGGGCAATATAGGAAATTAGGAATTTAGGAACATATGAATTATACTTTTTTTTTTTTAAACCTGATCTCACAATCCCACTTTATATCTCACATCTGTGCAGTGGACTTCATATTAAGGCTACAAATGTTGGGTGTACTAGGTCTTTGTTGTACTTCAAGGTTAACATGGTTACCTTAATGGATTTTCAAATTCTTTTCTGCCTTTCCTCCTCTTGTACTTCACCTCTCTCTAGTTCTCCTCATTCACCATGTGTCCAGTCTGGACCAGCATTGACTTTTTTTCTCACACAAGTCTCCTCTGTAAGTCACTAATGTGTGAGTCTATTGGTCTAAAGCAGCAGCCACTTTGAGCACATTGGTCATAAACAGTCCTTTATAATGGCTCCATTCACACAGACAGGGAGTTGTTTGGTGCTGCTCTAATAACAGAGCCATGCAGCAGACCAAAGAGTCGCTGGACTTAAAAGTTAAAGACTGTAGCTCTTACAAAACTTAAGCCTTTTTGAGTTGTTTTTGAGACTCATTGCAACTCAAACTGTATGTAATCATCTTTAAATATGGATTGTTTGTACTTTGTGAAATGTAAAGGACATGTAAAGGTAACCTGGAAGGTTAGAAGTAGATTCACACGCATTGGAAGTGAACTGACAATGTGTGAAAATTGCAAAGCAAGTTTGAACGCCTAGAAAAGGGATTAGTGAATTAAAATGATCTCGATGAGATTTGCATTTTACCTGTTTTATCCTTCTCAAATGAATGGTATCTGCAATTTTAATTCTTTTTCTACATGACTTATCTGAAGTCTTTCATGGCTGAGTAAATGCCTTCCTCCGTTGACTTTTTTGGAGGAAAAATAAACAGCTGTGTCTACACTCACCCAGCTCTGAAAGGACACTTGTTGGAAGTGGCTAGTTATGACCAAAACTACAGCTGTTTGAAATGGGTTTTGAATGAAGACTTACCCAAAAACTTGTAAATTATGAACAAACTTTCTAGAAAGTTAAACTCTGCCACATGAGGTCACAACAAGCCAATGTACTATATGCATTTGTCTTACTTATTTAATAAGTGAACTACACACTACTACACACTACTCTGCCACTTTCTTCAAAATAAATGTCCAAAGTCCAAACTTTACATTAGGGCTAGGGATGGGACAATAAATCATAATTGCTTTTTACGACTAATTGTGCATTTACATTATTGGTAAATTAGATAATAGCCAACAAAGATAATTGCCATTATACCACAAGATTGGACACACGACAAACAAACTAACCTAAACTTGACTTAAGCAGTGATTATGATTTCCCTTGCCTACTGGATCCATGTCTGTATTTAATTAAGTCAGTACGGCCTGCAAATAGCCCATTATAAAACATCATTTGCATTCTTAAACATTTGGTTGAAGAGATGATTGACAGGTTTGCATTCATTTCCATCTTCTGTGTAAAATGATTTTGTGTGGCAGCAGTGGCAGTGCATTGGATTGCTTTCTGTCCAAGCTGTTATGTTATTAGCAAGATTACATGACTGGCAATCTGAGTGTTGGCTGGTGCTTCTGTCAAGATAGCAATAAATCTGTTGCGTCTTCATGCCAAGAACATGTTAAAATACCCAAGAAATACTGAGAGGAGGTGTAGGATGTGCTTCAAATGGTTACTTTTGGTATCGTTAAGGTCATATAAAAATGTATTTTATTTTTATTTAGAAAATGTGATACATCTTCGTGAGTGATGTAAAATATAAAGCCACATAAAGCCATGGTAAATTTAGTGTGAGAACAGATGGCCCAATTCTTGTGATTCTTGGAGCCCGTCTTTTGCAATCTGGTGACGCTAAAACTGAAATATCCTGCAAAATAAAGATAGTTAATCTCTTTCTAATCTGTTTTTATCTTTTCAAGGAAACTCCAAAGGCAAACGTCAGAAAAAGATCCTCTACAGGACTCAGAACTACCTAAATCAGTACGCTGCAGATGGACTGAGGACACTATGCATCGCTAAAAAGGTACAAGTTTATAAAACATTGAGTGAGATGCTTTTAGACAAGGTGGCGGATGTTGTTGATCAAATTGAAAAATGAAAAATGGCACCTATATTGGATTGCAAGGCGCGTTTATCAAATTTAACATATTTTGTAGTGACTGATGGGAAGAATTTAACCAAATATTGACAAACTATTTTAATCTGCCTACTTTCTAAAACCACCTTCCTACCAAACATTAAATGATGGCATAAAAAAAATGACAATCCATCCTACTTAGCCCTCACCTTTTTATATGCAAATTTTATATGTTGCATGAAAAATGGTTACTATTTATACACTTGCTATCTCTAACCATTCAGACACACAGTAGCCACAGCTTATGAATATGTTGATAATTTTGGCTACCTCCTACACTGCCTGAAATAGTTATACAAAATCACTAATGTTTTTTTTTAATGAGGTTCAGTTGGCTGTCCTATTAGCTCACAGTATTTGGTGACTACTATCTACTGTGTCACGTTCATTTTGGCGTTTTCACTTGTGGCACTTCCCGATCGTGCAGTCATATTGTTTACAAACATGAAGGGCTCTATAGATCTGGTGCAGAGGAGATGGTTGAGGATGTGTCTGTACCTTCATGGCCGACTGTTCCACACGTTTTTGGTGACTCAGCTCCAATCTGTGCCACTCTCAAACACTGATAATTTATGTCCTCACAGCCGCCTCATTATATCCATGCTAGTGCTAACTGCTAAGCCTGTCAACCAATGCTAAATACTCCCTCAAGCTCTCACTCTGTCCCATGGATCACTGTATGTTGCAGAGTGGAGCTGCATTATAAATAGTATGCAGTGCAGATAATGATGTGAAATTGTTATTTGAACAAAAATATAAATAGATTGCAAAGTTAAAGTCTTCCTTCATGTAAAGATTTCTACAGTTTTTACACAAAAACAAGTTGTTTATTGAAAAAGTCTTGATATAATGGTGATAATTCAGGGGTAAAGTAATGACTGAGGCAACTTTGGTTTTGACAGATTAACTAAACAAAAATTTTATACATATATATATATATATTATAACAGAGGTCATCAAACTAAGGGTCGCGGACTGACTCTGGCCCTCCACGCCCCTTTGACCGGCCCCCAAGCCTCTCTGCCCCCCACCACCTGAACTGGCCCTATGAGACAATCCTCAGAAGTTGTCATGTCCAATTTTTTTTTATTACTTTTTGGCAAATAATAACACGTGGTATCTAGTATTTTGTTCATTTTTTTCAATAAAAAAAAATTATTTATATGAATCTTTATATTTAAATAATTATATGACGTATTTACATTTGCCGCTGAATTTTCATCACCTGACAAGCTCGAGATCAAACAGTCACAATCAACACGCGCAGAATTCTGTAGTGCAGATAAAACAGCAAAGTGGTGAGTGTTGAAGTATGAAAACTTGACAGAGTGCTGAGTTTTCAAAGAACAGTAGATGACCGATTATTTTTTTGTTCAGTGTAAGGACCGTGCAGTTTGTCTGGAATGTAAAGAAAGTGTTGCAATATTCGAAGAATATAATCTGCGTCGTCAGGGTCATACAATTCTGTTATAGGGCCAACCCGACCCTGGCCCCCATCACAGTCAGGAGTGACTCAAGAGAAAAACGTTTGGTGTCCCCTCTATTAAAATATGCCAATATTTAACATTGTATATATTTTTTACACACCAGGTTTTGTCAAAGGAGGAGTATGCATGTTGGCTGCAGCGCCACCTTCAGGCAGAGACAGCCATCCAGGGGCGAGAGGAGCTGCTGTTTGAGTCAGCACTGAGGCTAGAGACCAACCTTCACCTTCTGGGTAATGGTTACTTTTAGAAAGACTACAAAAGCCAAAAGCTACAACTGTCTTGATGTCCACTTCCACATTACTGATAATATAACATAGACAATAGATTTAAAGGTTAAATTGTAGTATTTACATTATGCTAGTTGCTATTGCTTGCTTTTCTTTTTTACCAGTTGCTTCTCTGGACACCAAGTTATCCAGGTCTTGTCAGATTTCCAAATGTCACTCTCCACTCTTCTAAGATTTTGTTGTTTACTATTGTATTTTTTCCGTGCCTTGAGTAGATGTGTCAGGTACAAATATGTTGAAATTTAAGGTCATAGGCTATGGTCGATTTTTTTACAGTCCTTTTTGACCCTCAGGAGCGACGGGGATTGAGGACCGCCTTCAGGATGGCGTCCCCGAGACCATCGCGTCCCTGAGGAAGGCAGGGCTACAGATATGGGTGCTCACAGGGGACAAACAGGAGACAGCGGTCAATATTGCATACGCCTGTAAACTGTTGGACCCAGAGGAAGAGCTCCTCACTCTGAATGCTGACTCCCAGGTGACCGTCATAACATTTAAATCAATTTGTTCTTATGGACGATGAGTAAATGGATTTTTATACTTTAATGTATGTATGAATGAATATGTAGTAGCAGACCTTAGATGCACACACAGTTTGTCATAATGTCTCGATACATTTGTTCATCTTTCTGAACAGTTTACTTTGAGCCTAAGACACCAGCAGAGCTTCAAATAAATTAACATTAATTTTAACTATGGTCCACTTTAAAATGAGTGCAGTGTACTATCTTTTTATTTTTACCAAAAATAAATTAAAAGTGTTTGTTTTGTGGAAATAGTAAATGTCAGGTCCGGTATATTTTGTTTTTTATCTTGAATTCCAGTTCTAATCCAGTTCCAGTTCTTATCTAAAAAGAACAGCGTGTGCAACATTATTAACTATTAAATTATCTCTTAAAATTGTTCTTATTTATGGACTTTATGACAAACAACTTTTAACAATTTTTAACAATCTGTAGTCTTTCATTGCACCATGTACAATTTTATTTCAAACCATAGAGAATATAAAATGTGTATTTAACAGTACAGTTCAATCTATTGCTGGTGATGACATAAATATCCCAATCCCTACTGGCACAATATTATCAGATTTCTCAGGTTCTGAATAAGATCTTGGCTCCACAATTTGCACTATTTTTACTGATCAGGCTTCTTTCATTAGCTGCTTTTTATTTTCTTCATGTTATTTAAGATTTTGATCAATCCATATACTTTTGAAATATAAAGGCTGCTTTTCATTAAAAACGTAAGTTTTTGTGAGATATACAAGATGTTTTTATAGAATTTATTTATAAAATGCATTGCTTAGCCTTATCTCGAATGACTTTAGGTAAATATTATCCACTGTTTGGACTTACAAGAAATAGTTGCAGGTGTAATTTGGATTGAACATTTTATATTTTATATTATACTGAATACTGGTGCAGGTGGAGTGTAATGTTTAGTTCTAGTCTGGTGCAGCAGCTGTTTGCCAGATGCTGCAGGTCAGTACAGTGCATTGAACTCCACTTTCCCTTTCTCTCAGTCTATCTCTGCCTGCCTGGGGTTGCAAAATGTTTTGCAATATCACCTAATGTACAATTTAGAAATTAGCTCTTACAAAACCAACTACTCTAATTACTCTAAAGTGCTTTTCTCTAATGTGGTTATACATAAGTTGTGCATACAGAGCCTGAAATATTATTATATTTTAGATGTATGTTGTGTGACTTGAAAAAAATGTATAATCTTCTTGGTTTAGTCTTATTTTTATTTATGTGTACATTCATTTATTTTCCACATTGCTTGACTAAATGCAGGAATTAGCATTTTTGCTTTTGCACAGCAATTGAACAATTGATACAGTTTCTAAATTAAGGAAGTTAAATGCAGTATTCAGCATTGTGTAGTCCTTATCTGGTGTGTGCATTCAGAAAGAAAAATGAAATCGCCATTGCTAACTAATGATAGCATAGAGTATTGAATTTACATAAAACTTTAATTTGAAACAGCAAATTAATCAGTTATGTTTATCTGAACCAAGACACATTTAGAAAGCTGTTTAAAATGCAAGCGAATCTCCAGTGCTAAGTAATCATTATGATTTAGAAGTATTGTGAGCTGTAAATTCTGTTGACACCGGCATTAACAGTAAATCTTCTAACTCCATCTCTCCCTGTCTCTGCACCAGGAGGCATGCGCTCTGCTGCTGGACGAGAGCCTACATTACATCCAGGCCAAATTCCTCTGCTCCTCCTCAGACCAAGCTGCTAAAGCCTACCTTTCCAACATGGCGGACGGTGACCTGTACCCCTCACTACCTGTACATAGACTGGGTTTGGTGATAGATGGGCGGACCCTGGCCTACGCTCTGGACCGTAGTCTGGAGGATAAGTTTCTGGCTGTGGCTCGGAGCTGTCGGTCGGTGCTGTGCTGTAGGTCCACTCCCCTCCAAAAGAGTATGGTGGTCAAACTGGTGCGCAATAAGCTCAAGGTCATGACCCTGGCCATTGGTGAGTATTTGTGATAGTACTTATAATTTATATTTGTAAGGCGTTCCTTTCTTTTACTACTATATTCTTGCAATACATGCCTAATCTACTGGTACTTGTACAAACATTCAAGTGATACAAATACCACTACTTCATTGCTAAATCTATTAATACTGTAATGCTACTTTTTAGTAGAACTAGTTGTTTTGCTACAATTTGCAGCGCTATTACGATTATTACATTCTCAGATCTCTGCTTATCTCGACTACTTAATAAAAGCAAATAGACATTCCCAGAAGCAGAATTATGACTTGATGAGTGTAAATAAAAACATAATATATTATTAATATTCAAGATAAGCTTCAGGCAAGTACCAGGTTGTAAGATCCCACAGTGTCAAGGCAGATCCAAACACGCTTCAGCCACAGTTTACAGAGATGAACTGTGGAGGAAAAATCATTTTGGAAGACTGTAAAAATTGGCTTAAAAACATAATAAATAGTCGAGGCTCTTAACATGTACACACACACCTCATCGACAGACGTATTGATAGATTTTATTATGAGGTACATGCAACTTCAGTAAAAATGTTGAAACTATGCCAGGCCTTGAAAGCCACGTAAACTAGTTTTATCCGTATTTGAACTCTTGAAATCTTGTGATAAATTATAGCATCTGACAGCCACAGTCCACTGGTACCATACTGTACAATGTTTTTGCGTAAACTTAATTGGATTTTGGAAGTTTGTGTCTCTACTCAACTGAAATACTCTGAGCTAACAGAACTATGCACTAAATTAACCTAATTAAAGCTGAAATGCAAAGAAAAGCAAATAAAAATCTCCCTAACCTTGAAGTCATTAGCCAACCAAGCCTGGAGCAACTGGAGCTCTTTGCGAATAATTGTGCTTCCCGCTAATCACTGCTCATCTGCATTGCTTGATTTTTAATGCAAAAAACATCTCATCTCTAATTCCTGTATCATTTAGGGCAAACTTCACTCACCTCTGATTAACAATATTTCACCTGCTGATATGGCAGAAGTCCACATTTCCACTCTGCCACTTCCGAGCAAAGTGCATTTTTAAACCGATTGAGGTTCTGTTTACTTTCACTCAAATGTGCTCCAAAAACAGACCTCTCAAGTTCTGGCACATGTATAAAATAAAACAGATATTTAGTCAAACAAAAGCCAGGACAAGTGGTCATTTAACTGTCAGGAACTAGACTGATGTCAAATTGTGTTCATATAATTAGCAGCTCCCCCTGTGTGCGTCAGGGTACAACATTTCAATGACAAATTTTCCTCTAAGCATTCGGTGTCATAAAGGTGGGCCTTGTCTGTCACCCCTGCAGCGTGTCAATACATGTTGACTTTGAAATCTGTGGGAAAAAAAACAGTTCAGATTTATCAACCCACATTTACAAACAAAGGGATACTATTAATACTAAATACTCAAATCACTACAATTAATCATGATTATTCTGACGATTATTACAAGATGTTTGTGAAATCCCTCATCCTTAGTTGTCTTTTGCTATTATTGTAAGATGTGTCAAATGTAGGATTCTGTTCAGAGTGCACATTGCAAACAACTCCTGCAGCGTTAACATTTCAGAGAAGACTGAAATATGAGGTGATAAACTACTGCAAACATCCCATGAATTTCAGAACATGTTTGCAGAGGTCTGAACTGCAGGTACGACAGAAAGACAGGATATTTTGTTCTTTGCTGAGGACATTCTAAATCTAAATACTTGCAGCCTATTCAAATTACAATTTTTATTTGATTGGGATATAGAGTGCCTGAATACTATTTTACCACCACTAACTACTTCTTCAGACTAGCTACTATAACATGTTGATGAAGCAACCTTGTCAAGGGCAGAAGTGGGTCATACTCAGTTACATTCACACCTACTCAAGTAAGTTACTTGTATGTAAATGTTTGTTGCTAGAATGGTTTAAAGAAAGAAATTTAACTACTCTAGCAGCATACTTTTACGCTTGAGTAATATTTTTATTAAGGTAATTGTACTCTTACTTGAGTAAAAGTTTTGCTTACTGTTCCCACTGTGAATTAGCCAGGCTGACGCCACCTAGTGCCTCCGCTCAATTTCATTCCTCTCCAGATACTAGGTCAGGAATCAGAATACACTGGACGGTTTGCTAAAACCACGGAAGTGCGAGTTCGGGCACCAGTCAATTAGCGAAGAGTTATACATTCTGTGTTGGCAACAATTCTCCAGATCAAGGATTTAAAGCTGGAACAAAGAGAATGTTTGGTGAATTTTATCAAGGGGAAAGACGTTATTGTCCGTCTTCCTACGGGATTTGAGAAAAGCTTAATATACCAGTTAGCTCTGTTAGCGGTGCATTACATACGTCACAACCAAATAGTAGTGATTGGTTAAATAAAAAAAAGTACCCGCCTACCGTCGAGTGAACGAATCCTAATGCTGCGAAGTCAGTTTTCACGAACTGAAACCGGATGATGAATCAGGCTAACTCTGAATAAGTCTAAGTGCCAAGAGCTTTATGGTGACAATATGAAATGCTTTGAACATTTTTATTTCTTCCTCCTTCAGATCTGATTTAGTTTTTCTTGTTTTTGTGTCTATCCTTTGAAAATACCAGATTTTGTGCATTATTTAATGTTTTATCCTTCAGATCATAATAACTTCAAATTATAAATCATGTTATGTCCCAACGGTAACACTTTAAGCTGGTCTTATTTGAATAGTTTTCCCAAGTACGATTTTGCTCCGACTTAAGTAATTTTCTGGACCATTACATTGTAGTTTTTGAGTAATATTATTTTGAACTAACGTTATTCTTTCTGGAGTTGGCTACTCTTTCCACCTTTGGTCAAGAGACTCCAGGATTATGAGCACACATTTTTACTATTACTTACAGCTTGATTTGTGAAGTACGACAAATCCACTGAGCTCCTGAAGTACACGGAGTTCACTTTTTTGCTAAATTAGTATCCCTTTCCTCTTCCTATTGATGTTGACGTTTTGACTTTGAAATGTATGGGGGAAACTCTGTAGTCGTTCATCAGCCTACACCTTTAGAACAAAAAGTCAGATGGGGTTATTTTAGGGCTGTATTCGTAATTATACCTTTCCCCTTACAAATATAGTCTATAGGGTGTGGAGGTGACATAGAGGATTCATTGTGACCTATGCTTGTCTTTTCCTGTTTACCGTTTATTTGTTCACGTGGCACTCAGGAGAGGCCGGGATTTTGCCAGCCAAGCGATTTTCTGTCATTGCTTTGTTGGCAGTAATGTTGGCGAAATACATGCTGCAGTTTCTAATTTCATGTCTCTGTGGGTACATCATATCAGCACTGTGGACATATTAGGCAACAATTCATCTGTAACCACATACAGTGTCACTGTAAGGGCCACCGGGGACGGCCGTAGTAAGCATTATTCTGGATACAAGGGCCATAACAAGCGCGTATGTTTTTCAGACTGTCATTTGGTCATTTGAAAATAATTGGATAACACTAACATAACAATTAACAGAATATTAAACCGTTTTTCATCCTGCAGTGATGAGACCAAATGGTGGTTTACATTAAACTAATTAATGTTTTGCTGAATTGTTTCATTTGTTTAATTGCCTGTTTCCTAACGCTGGCCTACTTCATGGTATTCTTTGTTAGAAATCTACATACAAGCATGTTTTTATAACATCAAATTGTTACTACGGATTGGAAAGGCAAAAAAGGAGGGAGTGAATATATCCAAGCAAGAGACCCAGAGGCTGTGATGAACAGGGAAAAAACATTTTAAAAATTGTTACTGTTTAGAGGCTAAATGGCCACTCTGGTGCTTGGATTTTAAATCAGAATGATCCACAGTAGACTACTGCTTCATTTTGATTCACAAAGCTGCCTGCTGAGCTACAGTCTACCCTTTAAACATTTACAATGGTACATTAAGTTGCAATCGCCACATACTCCCCATTATAGCTCCTTTGTTCATTGGCCTTTATTGAAAACACAGCGCTACAGTAACATTACCTGAATACATTTGAGTCCTAATGTTGCAGCCCCGTCACCTCTTGAGCGCTTATCACCACCTACATCTCACATTCAGCCGAGCGTTTCAAAGTCGTGACAACAACAAAATCCTCCTGCCCACCAGCTCCTCGCCGCCGCCCCTCCTGTGGTGCCACAAACTATCCACAGACAACAAAAGCTACTGCAGGCTAACAAGAGCTCACACAAAAACACTAATGGAACAGCTGAAGAAACAGACTGTGGTAGAGTAGCAAAAGATGCTCTTTGGAAATACACAAAGTAGAATTAGAATTTTGGTTGATTCTGTAATGTGGCGATGTCCCTCTCTCCGATGGAAGCAAGAGCCAGTATTCCTCTTTTAAAAAAAATATTGTATTGGATCACATTTTAGTGAGCCCATTGTGCCAGTTGTAAAGCATTAAGGCGCATGGGAATAAATGCATTTTTTTGAATCTCAAAAAATGCCCTGCTTTGTATATTAGATTTATTTACGACAGTTTTCCTTTGTTAAATGTTTTCCAGGTGACGGAGCCAATGACGTGAGCATGATCCAAGTGGCGGATGTGGGAGTGGGCATTTCAGGACAAGAGGGCATGCAGGTAAAGTAGTAGAAAAGTGAAAAGAGATGAGCAATATATTTTTCTGGGCCAGAAACATATTAGATGCCATTTTAAGGAAAGTCAGATTATGTATTGATAAAAGACAACATTTAACATTTACCAAACATACACTACAAGATATGACTACACTGGTCTATTATCCAGTTTGTAATATAACAAGGTTATGGATGAATATAAATATGTTTTAAAGTAAAATTTATATTTTGGGGGAAAAAATTCAAATCGACCCCAAAAAAATATCGGCAGATGGATTATAAACAATCGGCATTGGCCATGAGAAAAAAAAAAAAAAACTTATTGAGCTTTACTTTTTAAGCTGTCACTGGTTTATTGTTTTAATTTTTTTAGCTAAAGCGAAACATAATTAAAACAAAACTAAAATGTGTATGAATAAATGAACTGGAACTGTGTTGGTTTAGTGTGTTTACATATTCATTTTTTTAATAGGAAGTGAAATTCTTATTATTTATTTCACTGCCAATAAGCAAGCTCTCACTATTAACTTTTATGAAATGGTGGAAGACATTGGCATTTAAACTCAGTATTTGATTCAATAGACTTTGATTACGAGGCTGCTGTCCCACACATCTTCTAAATGTGCTGCTCGGAGCTGCTGAGTCAGGGCTATGTCCACTGTCCCATACAGCAGCACTTTATAGATGCTCTGGACTTTACCCATCTCAACACATACCTCTTTCCTGCAGGCGCTGGTCTAAGTTCTGGACTTGCGCCAAACCTCGTAGGAATCATGTGCAAAGATAAACGCAAAGTGGTGATGCGTATTTGTCAATGCATGATTCTAAACTTCCAGCAGCTACACTTACCACATTAATCACAGTTTGAATAGGCGCAATATTTGGGAAATGACTAAATACGATCCCTGCTGGCATTTTATAAAACCCGCTAACCCTGTAGTTTAGACTTTGTAGATGCATATGATTCTAGCATTAGTTAATAAGGTGATATTTCAGTCCCAATTCAAATGTACATGTAGGCCTGCCATGATAATTACTATATCGACTCATTGTTCAATATGTGAAAGCTGGAACTATATTTTTTGCCGGTCATTATTTATCGTGGGTACTTTTTCTTGGCGCTACTGGGAAACTTGTGGCTATTTTTTGGCTATACTATAATATTTAAGGGTAAAATGTTGAATTAATCACTTCTATGACTCATTACAGATGCAAACTAAGTACTAAAGTGTTTCATTCAAGGACTTTTACCAATACTGTAGATTTAGAATAGTTTTTGTGGCTTGCTCTTCAATTATTGTCAATGGCATAAATCATCTCTATTTCCTTCAGCAATATATCAAACTTAATAGTTTGTTACTATGTACATACCATAAATAAAAAGTGTAACTCTTGTTTAGAACCTAGCCTCAACACAGAGGCCAAGCAATGTGTCCACCTCACCAACAGCATGGGATATGAACATTGTTTATTCAAATAACAATTTAACAATTGTCTCTTCCAAACACTATTTCAGCTTTCATTTTAAAATTGTATTTGTCTTACATTATAATGGTGTTAATGCATACTGATGGAGATCCCAAGTTATTATCCTGGGGAGTCATGACTGGCCCACCACAGTGAAGCACATCTGCTGCAGTCATGAGTCTAACTGGACCAAAGCATTAATCATTGTTAATCAAATTTGTCCTTAACGAGACAGTGATCATTGTTTCGGATTCTGTGGTGTGCTGAGGTGCAGGTTTTTGAGACCAGACCAAACCAACAGTAAATTATGATTAAATGACTTTGGTCTATTGAGCAAAGCACTGCTCCTGTCACTGTGTCTCTAGTGTTTCACACCAGATTTCATATCCAAAAGTGTTTAGTTCCCAAAGTACTGTCTACTTTGTAGTCTTGGAATTATTCTGGACTAAAACAGAAGGGTCTGGTTGCAAACCTCCACTCAGATGACCCAACCTGAAATAAACAAACAGCAAACAATGTTGACATTGTTTTATACTAAAGACAAGCCCAAATACTATTCCTAATCTTAACCATTACAAATTTGTGCCTTTACATAAAAAAACACCGAGCCTACAGCCAAACATTTACAGATAAATTACATCTACTGTAAGAGCCCTATGCTACATACACGCTTGTATATGTAGGTCTAAATGTTTTTTCTTTGTTTTTTCTTATTTTTAACGGCTAACTAAACTACACTACGAGCAGAGTAGAGCAGAGAGAACATGAAATAAAATCTATTGGTGATTAAATGTCTTAATTAAATGTATGCAGTGCTTGGCTCTAAACAATTCGAAATGAGCTTTATCATCTTTAAGACCTTTAATAGACATGAACTAGAAGAACAACTGATACAAAGTGTAATTAAAGTGATTATGGAGTAAATAAATCAAAAATTATGAGGGAAATGTGCAGGGAGATGCAGACTGGTAGGGTCCTCTTGGTGAAGGTCTGCTGCCACACTCTTGAAAATGAAGTCTAAACCAGGACTAAACCAATCTCTCAATATTACCAAATCAGAACGAAACCAGGTCTAAACCACATGCAGTTTTCTGAGGATTAACAAAAGTAAAAAGACATAAATGCAGCCAACCATTGAGATGTCTCATACTGATCGTACTCTCAGATGTTGACGGACGATAATGAATCCCACACGGTATAGAAAAAAGAAAAAGTGAAATAATGAAGCTCTTTTCAAGCTCAAATTTGCTAACAACTGGTTGGTGCTGCCTGTAGTACTGTCTGCATACATAAAACTAGAAAAGCACTCAGAGAGCGCAGACCTCCGCCAAGGACTACAGTCCCCCTCATTACCTCCGCCAAGGAGGTTATGTTTTTGCCGGCGTTTGTCTGTTTGTTTGTCTGTTAGCAACATAACTCAAAAATTTTGTTTCTCAATATCTCGGTTAATTATTGACCAAACCCCATGAAATTTGACTCAGGGATGGACAATGGGATCCTCTTTCATATTCCAAAGGCTGATCCGGATCTGATCCAGAAGACTGATTTTATCGCAATTTATATAAAAAATGGGGGTAGTCCATGGCGGAGGTCTGCGCTCTCTGAGTGCTTTTCTAGTATTAATTGTGTTTTCCATAAATATTTGTCTCGTATCTTTCAATTTGGAATATGAAAGAGGATCCGATTGTCCATCCCTGAGTCAAATTTCATGGGGTTTGGTCAATAATTAACCGAGATATTGAGAAGCAAAATTTTTGGCCCCATTTACCACAATGTTAACTAAAATTTCAAAGTGATCCAGAATCCAGGATTTCTTCCAGATCACCCCCAAAATGAAATCAGTTCTTCCTTTTCACATTTCCAACAAATCCTGAAAATTTCATCAAAATCGGTCCATAACTTTTTGAGTTATGTTGCTAACAGACAAACAAACAAACAAACAAACAGACAAACAAACAGACAAACGCCGGCAAAAACATAACCTCCTTGGCGGAGTTAACAAGACAGGACTAAATGTATTGCTCTGAAGTTCCATCTCTAATGCATTACTACTGAGGTTTGTTGTTGTTGTTTTTTTTTAAGGCGGTGATGGCGAGTGATTTTGCGCTGCCAAGGTTCAGTTATCTCCAGAAGTTGCTGTTGGTTCACGGGCACTGGTGCTACTCCAGACTGGCAAACATGATCCTCTACTTCTTCTACAAGAATGCTGTAAGATTTTTTTTTTTTTACTTGGCAAGCTCTCCATTAGCTACTTCTTTTTCACCATGTTTAAAAATTGCCTTTAAAAGTTGAAAATTTTATGTCATGAGTCATACAAAAATGAATCACTCCCCTCCTGTCTTTCTCTCACTCCCTCTCAATTGAAAACCTAATTTGACACTCAATAACCTTATATTTATCTGCATAGCCTGTACTGAATGTTGCTTTAGCATTGGATCTCCTTGTTCCTTCCTCTTTTGTGTATATCATTGCGTTTTATGTGTTGTTTCGCAGATGTTTGTGGCCCTCATTTTCTGGTATCAGTTTTACTGCGGGTTCTCGGGGTCGGCTATGATCGACCAGTGGTATCTAATCTTCTTCAACCTCATGTTCTCGGCGTTTCCGCAACTCATCACGGGCACCCTGGACAAAGACGTGTCGGCAGAGACGCTGCAGAGACTCCCTCAGCTCTACAAGAATGGACAGAACTCAGAGGTGATGCAGCTTATATGGATAAAGGATCTGAAATATTGATATGTGCTTTCAGTGTACTATGGAAACGTAAAGGTTAGGGCTGGGTATCAAGTTGATACATACCTCGATACATAGGCCACAATATGATACATACCTCAATACAGTGCACTTTTGGTTCGATACAATATATTTTAAATCGATTCGATACGGTACCGTAAAAAATAATGGCTAAGTGATAGCTGTGATACTAAAAGTCTTTGCTAAACCACTTCTTGTGCAAAGTTCTTGTGAAACACGCCCATTTTAATCATCAGAAGTGAAAATGTCAAATGTGTTGCATAAATGAGTTTTCTTCCTCTAAACAAGCAACAAAACTGTAGCTCTGTATATATATATAAATAAGAGTAAAATACACCAAAAAATCTCTTGGTGATATATTGATACAGCAGTTCATGATACTGATACTGTATCATCACATTAAATTATACAATATATCGATATTTCAATATTTTTGCACAGCCCTAGTAATGGGGACGAGCAGGCGACACCACCACGCCAAGTTACAGTTCAGCTCTGTGGAGAGGTATCATAGTAAGAATGCATTTCAATACATCCTTGAGCTATAAATGAATACATGAAATAAAATTAAATACAAGTAAGACAGTTCCATTTAATGCCATACTGTGTAACATTCCAGGTAAAGTAATAACCTCTCCATGGTGACAAGGGAGGTAGCAGATTCTCCACCAGAAAAGTTACACAACTCGTCTTTAAATTACCAGATAAGGTTTGCAATACAGCCTATTGATTTGCAATGTTAGGGGCGTATTATTTATTTTGTACTTATTGACATCATTTGTTGTTGTTAATTAGGGGTGTGCAAAAATATCAAAATATTGATATATCATATTGTTTAATATGATGATACAATATCAATATCATGGGCTGCTGTATCGATATTATTATTATTATATCGATTATTTTGTTACAGAGCTAAGCGTTGTTGCTTGTTTAGAGGAAGGAAAGTAATTTATGGGACACATTTGATATTTTCACTGTTGATGCTTAAAATGGGCGTGTTTAATATGCACAAAATGTGGTTTAAGACTTTTAGTATCAAAGCCATGATTTAGCCTTTACTTTTTATGGAACCGTATTGAAATACATGATCTCAAATTGAAAGCTTGCTGTATCGAGATGTATATTTTGGCCTATGTATTGAGGTATATATCGTATCGGCAGCTTCTAATGATACCCAGCTCTATTGTTAATACTCTCAAATTTACAATTGTAATAATATAATTTTTCATACATGCATACCTTTTAAATGAACTCAAAACTATACATTGAGTCCTTTTTGCATAAAGTTTGTTGCATAAAATTTCATAGTTGAAACTCGACCACAGACTTTACATTGAGTAGCCCATATATTGAATTCCATATTGATCTCACGAGTGTTGCTTTCCCAAACTCACCCTTAAAGTTTGTCTTTCCAAATCTAATATTCTGTTTTATCTCAGCTTTTTATTCCCCGTGTGAAGCACAGCTTCAGTCTTTCAAAATCTATGAGCCAAAATAACTCAACCTCTGAGTGGGATATTTTTCAGTTAAAGTACATCTTGTCCTCTCTACCCCCAAAATGATCCTGCTTTTTATTCCTCCTACTTTATATTGTATAAATAAATATCCCATATACTACCTTTACAACCACCCGACTCACTTGCAAATTCAATACATGGAGCTACTATAGTCAGCAAATGTTTTTATTACGTTTTAGTTCTTTTGTCCCTTTCACAAGAAGCTCAAGATGAAATCCATTGTCATTTGCATTGTCTTAGCTGCACGGTGTACAAATCAAATTATATACTGTACTGGGAAAAAGATTTGGAAAACAATGGTGTATCAATGGTTTAAAAATTCACATCAGAAGAGCTTTTGCAAGTGAAGTTATATTGTATTTTCTCTATAGGGGAATACATTCGATTCCTCTCCACTCCTTCCCATTTTTACATTATTAGTTAGGTTCAGACTAAGGAATACCTAGCTGGAGGATTAGCCTACTGTACATGCTTAAGGTTGCAATGATCTGAATAAATCCTGAGTAAAATTATATTATTAAGCCACAAATCTTTATCTATCACTATTGTTATGATATTAGATCTTGTGAAACTGGTCATTTTCTCGTTCGGTTGGTGATTTTGGTATCGTAAAATCTCTAAAGTTATCTGGATTCACATCAAAATAATTGTCTTGTTTAATCACTGAAACTTTCAAATTTCAAGGTGTGAACAGAAACAGTTCTATAAAGGTTAAATTTAAATAAAACATCTTTCTCTCATTTATTTATCTGCTCAGTCATGTATGCATCCATATCTTTTGTTTTTGCAGGAATACAAGCCATACATGTTCTGGATGAATATGATCGACGCCTTCTACCAAAGCCTGGTCTGCTTCTTCATACCCTATTTTGTAAGTCTGCTTTTTGTGACTTTCTCCTCACAATTTTAAGCAGTATCTAAACCACCTTCTGTCCATCCCCTATATCTCTCAGGCTTATGCAGACTCAGAAGTAGATCTGTTTACATGGGGAACTCCCATCACGACCATCGCCCTCTTCACCATCCTATTGCACTTGGGCATTGAGACCAAAACCTGGGTAAGCAGAACTGTGTACATGTCAGAAAAAAAAAGTTTGTAAAGAAAATGTCAATATGAAGAGTGGAATAATTTTGACCAAGTAATACGTACTGTATGTAACAGCAAAATTTCACAAGTAGTTGCTTAAACGTTAAGTTGCAAGGACATGTATCACCCATCGATCTGAGTGAATGTCCTTCAAATTGTTTGTAGAAAAAGACGTTTGAAGAGGAAGCACTGATGAAAAAATTCTTGTTGCTATAGTTTTCACTGTTTTTGGATTTTGTTGCTTCTTCTACAAACAAAATCATGTACAAAAAGCCCCAATGGCTAAATACGTAATTGAAACTAATTGTATCAGCTTTGCTCAGGCAAGTTCTGTGTGGTATTCATTAGTAGATTTAAAATTATAGTGTAGAAATATATGTATACTGTATTTGATGGATTTTTTTTTTTTTTTTTTTGAAAAGAAAGCAATATATTTATTAATCTAAACGTCATATGTTTTTGAACTGGAACTCTTAATTGTACTTCAGTTCATCTAGCTTCATCTAGTTAGCATATTTTTGAAAGTAAAGGCAAACATTTAGGCACATAACTTTGACTGATTATTAGGGTTCATAATAAATTCTCTTTAAAACTCACTTCCGCATACATACCCAAAATATTCAAGATTTTTCTCACTAATTCATTCTCAGGCTTGACAACTTTTGAATAGCAAGAGTAATGCTTCTTGTTATTGCTCACCACACTTAAGGATATTCACAATAACACTGATTCAACTGTATCCAAACATGGCAAGTAGCCCATTCTCCAACATAAAACGTGATCTGTAAAAAAAAAAGAGAAAAATCAATTGTTGGCAGCTTGGTCTGTGGCTGCAAGGAGGTAATTAATTATGTGTGCATGTGTGTGTCAAATGCTACAATACACCTCCAACTGTTTTCTGTCAGATGCCTATCACACAAGCAGCAGAACACGAGTGTGGCTTCGTTATTCACATTAGCACATAATAGTACAAGCTGCTACACGAGACACAATGCACTTGTATAAGTCATGTAGAGAGGTAAGGTACACTATTTGAACTGACTTTGTGCACCACAGCTTTTCAAAAGTTCTTTAAAAGACTATTTTTTTAATATAGTCTTGGAAATATTAAGATTTGGATTCATCAAGTTTTAAAACACAATTTCTTAGCACATGATAGTGTAATTTGCAATACACTATTGAGTAGGGATGTAACAGTAACCGGAATATCATGATATCGTATCGTCAGAAGTCTCACAATAATATCGTGGACTGTCACAATATATCGAATTACAAGATTCTTTGCGTAAATGCATGGTTTTATAGTAGCAACAGCTTATAAGCATAGAGAACTACATATCCCATGATTCATTTCAGTGCAGACAACATGAAGAGATATGTTTTTTACTTGAATTCTTGGGATTATGACAGAAATAATTCACACCAAAATCTTGTCAAGGTATTTTAAAAGCAAAAAAGTGTCCCATCTACAATTATATTAGCCTCTTAAAATATCGCAATAAATATCATATCTTTAGATACATATCGTGATAATATTATACCGTGAGATTTGGATATCATTACATCCCTACTATTGAGTAAAGTACCTTGAAGTAATAACAGTCCAATTTTTTTTTTTCAACTTCATGACATTTTCTTGGACTCAGCTATATAAAGATGTTTATAACTTAACTTTGGATACTAATGATTATCAAGTGCTTGCTTGAACAAGAACTATTTATACTGAGGAAAATAACCAGTACTCCTTCATAAACATTCAACTTGACTCCAAAGAATTGGGTGGTCAAAAGATATAAAGATTTTTTATCTTTATTTATTAGGCAAATAAAAGGCATTTTTTCAATATCATTTTGGTTTAGGAATTTACAGTCTTATCATATCTTCAGTAGAAATAGAAATAGAAACAGGGAGTCAGATATCTTAAACTGCTCTGGTCTTGTGTTGTACTTTCAGACCTGGATGAACTGGTCGTCCATTTGCTTCAGCATAGCCTTGTTCTTCACTGTGGCTCTGTGCTATAACGCCTCCTGTCCCACCTGTTACTCGCCTTCAAACCCGTACTGGACCATTCAGAGGTTGCTGCTGGACCCCCAGTTCTACTTCCTATGTGTCATCACGCCCTGCTCTGCACTACTGCCCCGGTACGAACATGTACTTATACACTATTTCATCATTATGAAAGACACAATTTTACCATAGCTTTTCATGAAAGTATTTGTTATTGTTAATTTAGTCCAAGCTACAACAGTGGTTGGATAAATAAAGACAGACCTTGGCATTTTCAGCATTTTCAATCAAATACTTGTATTTATTCTCTTGCATTCCTGGTATTAATGTATCCAAATGTTTTTCATGTTTGTCCTTGGGTTTAAAAACTGTCGTTGTTTTGCTTCTAGATATTTCTACAGGGCGTGTCAAGGGACTCTGTTTCCGAGCGCAGTGCAACTAGGACGACAATTGGACAAACTCCCATCCGAAACCCGCAGGAACATCCTCAGCCTCAGCGGGGTCGCCACGGGGTCACAGCTCAGCCCACAACCTCACTTCCTGTCCACTAACAAGTCCCTCCCTAATGACGGTGTGGGCAAAAACACTGTATCTCAACTCTACCAAAAAGAGGATGCTGAAAGAGACAAGGAGACATCCAAAGACATGTACTCTTTAGTTAACACAGAGGGAGACACTTTACCTTACACCAAAGATCTTCCAGGAGAACACCTCAACATCTCAACCAAAAGTTCAGAGGGCGTAGTCGGGAGCCCTGAGGTGTCCCATGTGCCTTCCTTTACAGACTGTGTGGAGCTGCCCCCGGAGCATGGGCCTCTCTGTGTCCGATACAAGAGGAGCCCAGAGCAGGCATTGCAAAACCGGACAGAGCACAAGATCCACGTGGCCTTGTGACACGCTAAAGTTTAAAGGGAGATTTGAGGTTTTAATGTAGGGTTTTATGGGTTACTTCCGGATGGAAAAAAAAAACTTGTACTGTTGGGAGATTGTAGTCAGCATTGGCACTGTTGGAACATATCCACACCAGAAATAGGTATTGCCGGCATTTTATATCATTGCATTTCTTGCGATGCCATACACAGTTTAAAACAAGGAAGTAAAGAAACATATTAGCAAATATATTAGTAAAAATTTTAAGTAGAGGCTTGAACTCATCTATGAGCTTTTTGGATTCAAATAGTGGCGCCTTTTTTTTTTTTTTTTCAATGCAAATAATGTGATTTGTTTGTGCCTTGCAAAGTTTTGTATTTACACTACCAGACTTACCAGTACACATGGACTGTGTTAATCTATGGCAGTCTATGTAATCTATCCACAATTCCCTATAGAACTCTACCTCAAAAATGCCAAGCATCCCTTTAAACGCCAACTCTAATTTGCACAATAGTTTTATCTAATTTTATTGTATTTTTCATTGAGATTCTTTTATAAGAATAGGTACTTTATATTTTGGATTTAAAAATATATTTTGGGGAGATTGTCAAAGGTTTTACTCTGCTTTCATCTCAGTATTTAGTTTAAGCTTTTTGGTACCACAGCCCTGTTTGTGGCCTGGAATTTTTGTCTTTGAAGTCCAAAGGAATAATTGGTTGTCATGGATTTTTTTGTGTATCTCGACCAATGGCAGCGAACTTTGATTTGTTTACTTTCAGCTGGATCTTTTTTATTGAAGAAATGTTGATAGTTTTTTCTAAAATACATTCCACTGAATCATTGTTTAAGGCTGTAACTAAATAATTACATTTACAAAGAGATATCATCTTTATACCAGAAATTATGCTTCCTCTATGTGTGTGCATGTGTTTTTAAAAGTGCTGGTCAGTTTCAGTCTTTGCAAAAAAAAAGCTACTGTTGCATATTTATCCCAGTGTGGCTCACTTGAAGGTTCTCTTGGAAATGGTTTTCTGCCAGGTGCAAAAAGACATTTGGCAGATTTTACAATATCACCTGTGGTTCTTGTTGGAACATGATAAATATACTAGTACTCTTTTACAAGATTCTTATTACTGTGTTTCTAGTTTAATGCAAGCTCAAAATTAAGCATTTATATCTTTTCATCGCTCATGTTATAACAAAATGTTTAATTATTTTGTTGTGATAACACTAGGAATATAACAAAAACCAAAATATCAAGATATTGTATCGTCAAAAATCTCACAATAATATCGTGGGCTGTCACTATATATCGAATCACAAGTTCCTTCGCTTAAATGCATGGTTTTATAGTAGCAACAGCTTATGATCATTGGGAACTACATGTCCAATGATTCATTTCAGTGCAAACAACATGAAGAAATATGTTTTTTACTTGAATTCCTAGGATTATGATGGAAATAATTCACACCAAAATCTTGTCAGGGTATTTTCAAAGCAAAAAAGTGTCCTATTTACAATTATATTAGCCTTTCCAAAATATCGCAAAATATATCATACTGTGAGATGCCTATCGTGATAATATTGTATAGATTTTGATATTGTTACAATCCTAGATAACACCTGAGTAGAAAACCTCAGTAGATAAACTTCCCTCATTCAAACACCTCATCAAGCGTCTCCAAATTCTAAGCTGTTTTCAAACCAGCCAAGATACATTTTATGATATACTTTCTTTGAACCTTTATATAAGGCAGCATCCACCATGCATAATGGTGAAATAGATGTATTTCTACTTTGAACAGGAAACAGGATACAATAGTATTATAATTTGATTTAATTGATTTTCCTGTGACATCATTCTTAGAAGTACTTTTGACTTTTTTTCTACTGGTGTTCAGCTGGAAACCTATTACAGGCTGTAAAATGAACATTTGCACTTTAAAAAGTTTAACACAACATCACAGAGCTGCTGGTGTAGCGTCAAGTGCTCAGAAATGCTAACAGTCATTGTTAGAATTAAACTGCAAACACAGCTGCACCTTTAATGTTTATTGCCGTACATTTTTACCAAAGAGCAATTATGTTCTAAGCAACAGTTTGTGCCTTAACACTGGAAAAGTTAGTTCTGGTTCAGTGCTGTACAGTTTGATATTTATGAGGCTAACGTGCTAGCGCTAAGTGCCTGCTAACTGTTGTTCACACCAGGTGCTTATCTCTTGTTGTTTATTTTGTTTTTTAGATTTTTCTCTGCTTTTAACCCTGCACTTTTGTCTCCTTGCAGCTGCATTCCTGAAATTTCTTTCTGACATTCACAGCACAAGCCCGTTCATTTTTTGTATGGATGTTGTTTCTTAATGCTAATAAAGTTGAGTAATAAAGTTGAGTTATGTAAAAATGAGGACCAAAGATTATATATTTCAGTTTTAGTAATTTGAAAATTCTCACATGTTCGTTGTACTTTGGCTGAACAGAGTAAAATAAAGTGTTTTTGCTACCTTATTCTCTGTAATGTTCCATTTTGTAGCCCTAGTATTTTTGATTATTGTGTGATTTATGTTAACTTGTGTTCATCAATTATATTCAGATCTTTAAGTGAGAAGTAGAATGTGAAATGTAGTCTTTTTTTTTTTCTTTTTTTTGTAGTCTTTTTCTTTTCTTTTTTTTATTGGAAGCTTTTTCCAGAAACTCTTGCGTTGGTTGTTGCTGAGTTACCAAAGGTGTGAAGAAGCAAAATAGTCTCCAAATAACGTCAAAATGTCACTTAAAAATACAATTCCAGATTTATAAAGATGTAAACTAACTAGACCAGAAAAAATGCTCAGCACCAGTCGAAGTGTTAATCTGCTGCAAGAAACGCAAATGTTCACATCATTTTAAATCATCAACATAAAACTTAGTCAAGTGTGGACTCACCGGGGACAGATAACCAACACTTTTACTCTAAGTACTGTTACTTCAAACCATAGACTGAATAAAGAAGTGGAGTCAGTGAATGTGACGTCACCCAGAGAGTTTCGCTCCACTCAAATGAAGCTCACGAAGCCAGTGGTTATGGAGGAGAATTTGGAGCCAAGCTTAATTATTAGAAATAGGAATTTGTTAACAGACAAAATAGCAAAATAAAAACTCCAGGAACATGTAGAGATGATTAATATAAACATTTTAAGACCAAAATGATGAGGCTCATAAGTCTATGGGCTCACAGCAGCAGATACAGAGGGAGGGATCACAATATTCCACTGTAAGTCAATGGGAGCCAGAGTCAGAAGTAGGGGTGTGCAAAAATATCAGAAAACCGATATATTGTATCATTTAATGTGTTGATACAGAGTTGATATCGGGGACTGCTGTATTGATATATTAAGAGTATTTTTTGGTACATTTTACTAAATTCGTTACAGTTTGGCGCTTGCTCAGTTAAAGGAAACTCGTTTATGCGACACATTTGACATTTTGACGAGTAAAATGGACATGCTTCATATTCACTTTGCACAAAAAGTGGTTTTACAAAGACTTTTGGCATCACAGTCATGATTTAGCCTTTATTTTTTATTGAATTGTATCGAATCAATTTGAAATATATCGTACTGAATCGAAAGCACTGTATCGAGATATGTATCGTATTGTGGCCTATGTATTGAGGTATGTATCGTACCAACGGCAACTTCTTAGTGATGCCCAGCCCTAGTCAGAAAGAGCCGAAAGAGCTTCAATGAGCATTTCCTGTTTGGAACGTAGAGACTATTGCGTTAACTATGTCCATTTATATACAGTCTATGCTTCAAACTAAATATAGTAGTAAAAATATGTAGTCTGAAAAGTACCCCAAGTTACTTTAAAATACTTTTACTATAATGTTTCCTCATCAAAAACATGCCTGTTCTGTTTCATTCACACATTTATCACACAAACCCTGCATATATAGAATGAATCTTTGTGTATTTGAACTGAAAACACTGCAGTATTCCACCTTGCGATGTCATGTAGTAATACATGAAGTGCTCTACTGTCTTTTTAAACTCCACACACCTTCACTAGAGTCATTTGGAACTGGAATTGCCTGTCTACTGAACTAAAGGTAAAACTGTTCACTTGAAAAATACAGCTTCAGGACATCACAAGGTGAAGCAGAGCAGTTTGAGCTTTGCAGATGTAGACAGACTAATAATGCAGGATTGCTCAAGCATGTGTGAATGGAACAAAACACAACTCTGGGTATGTCTGTGATGAGGTAACATGGCTAAAAGCTCACAAGGGTGAATTTTGCGTCATATAGGACCTTTAAGTTTCTCGAATAACTGTGACTGAGTAATACCTCTGTCTAAAAATATCACCAATGTCCCCTGTTCCTTACTCTGGGAAACACTGTGGTCTTCCTCACTGCACCCTCCCCTCCACATCAGCCTTACACCGGCAGGAGAAGTCACCTTCCCTATAGCCCTCGCTCTGACGTGCCTATAGGATACACCCCGCGACAGGAGCAAACAGCCCTCACAAATATGGCCCTGGGATGAAACGGCCATTTGTTTTCACTCGATTTGTAATAAGACGTCGCAAAACAAAGGCTTTCTGACAGATCCCTCATGCTCTGTTCTGTATCTGCTATAGGCTCCTCCAGCAGCTGTCCACGTGAGAGCAGGGGTGAGAGTGGAAGATGGATGCTCTGTGGTCCCATGCAGTGTGTGGCCTGTCACCGCTGAAGAAGAGGAGGAGGGGAGGGGATGGGGGCGAGGGGCGAGGTGGGGTCTTGTAAAAAGATGTGGGAGTAAAATGTAAGGGATGTGTGATAACATAGGGTTAATTTGTTTTAAGGTTTAAACTTATACACCTACAGGGTCATACAGAGAACTAATTTGCCTGCAGAAACATGCCACATTATAAGAGCAGGGCTAAATGTAATGGTATAAATAAATGAATAAATAAATAAATGAATAAATAAATAAATAAATAAATAAATAGAAAGTGTGCATGCTTCTTTGACTCTGGCTCCAATTGACTTTACATTGAAATAATGTCACCCCTCTCTATGTAACTGCTGCCATGAGCCTCATAAAAGCGTAAAAATAGCATACAGAAAGCAAACAAAAACAGACAATGATGCAAACAATCCAGTTAATTATAAAAAATTAATAAAAAGAAATGGAATAAAATAAACAAGGAAAAAAATCTAGCTAAAACCAAAGGAAAATGAGTCTTAAGAAGTGATTTAAAAGATGATACTGATGGTGCGAGTCTTATCTCCTCAGGCAGGTCGTTCCAAAGCCGAGGCACCCGGACTGGAAAGGCTCAATCAGCCTTCGTCCGGAGCCTGGACTTTGAAATAGCCACAGAGACCTGCCTGAGGATCTAAGGCTGCGGGAGGCTCGAACTGGGTTAAAAGTTCTGAAATGTAACTTGGTGCAAGACCTAAACGAACTTTAAAATGTTAGTTAGTATTGACCCGTTGTACATGATCCTGGTGTTTTTATTTCACTATTTTGTTTTGTAAATAATTTTCCAAGTCCTAGTACTCGCCCCTACAACTGCAAGCCTCTTGAGCTTCATTTGACTGGAGCTATGGGTGACATCAGTCCACTTCTTTATGCCAGAGGTGGGACCAAGTCATTGTTTTGTGAGCCCCAAATAAGTCTCAAGTCTTTGACATCAAGTCCAACTCAAGTTGCAAGTCAAATAGAAGCAAGTCCAAGTGGAGTCTCAAGTTACTGCCCCAAGTCCAAGTCGTCTGCTTTGAGCTTCAAGTCATTTTAAGTCTTTAAACCCAAGTCCCAGTTTTTTTTAAATTGATATGACTTTTAAACTAAATTGTACTTAAAAAGTCATGGTATATGTATATATGAGTATTTATATTTTTAAATGTCCTCATAAGATCTTAGAGTGAATCAATTTGGACAGAATTGAAAGAATGCAGATTTAAAAGTGCTAAATAACAGATCAGGCAATCTGTGCTGAAATCGAAGGATCATGTTCTATGTAGTTCCCCTTGTTATACTGTATTGTACTGTATTGTACTGTAGTACAGTTACCACATCACAGTACTTCAGTTACATCCAAAGTAACAAACAGAAGTGGGAGGAACATGTTCCAGTTTGTTCTTGTAAAGTTAAGCACCACGTGTATCAACTGTAAAGAGAAAAGTATTTTATAAAAACTTTTTTTTTTTTAAGGAGAAGCAATAAGTCTTCTCAAGTCACATGCCCCAAGTCTGAGTCAAGTCCCAAGTCATTGACCTTTCGTCACTATTTTTAGGACTTGAGACTTGACTTGATAAAATAGAGTAAGACTTGGGACTCGACTTGGACTTAAAGTGTGACTCAAGTCCAAATCACGACTTGTAAGTCCCCAACTCTGCTTTTAAACGTTGAATTAAATGCAAAATGAAATGCTTAAATTCACTGACCTTCACAACCATAAAAAGCACACACCTGGACTCAAGGTCCCAAGCCTCATAGTCAATACCTGGAAAATAAGCTCATATATATAAATAAGCTCATATATATGTGTGTGTGTGTGTGTGTGTATATATATAGATAGATAAATAGATAGATATAGATATAGATATAGATATAGATATAGCCTATACAGCATAAGTTTTCTAAAAATGTTAACACCATTTCAGCAAAGTCAGATGTAGAGGTATAAGGATTATTTGTAACTCATCTTTGTTACCTTTTCTAACCTCATTTGGTTAAGTTTATTTTAAAGATGCACCGTTACTATGGAGTAAGAAAGAGTTCAGAAATATCTGTGTGCATAGGACAGAAATCCGTGCAGATTTGTCTGTAGTTGAACATAAAATAAATATTAGTAAACTCTCAAATGAGTCCAGTCATAAATAAAATGTACTGTGTGTATGTTATCCTTCAGAATACTAATTGAAAAGTTAAAACATGAAGAATTACAATCACAAAATGAAAATGTATGACTATGCTTTCATCAGTATGAATACTCCTGTCCTGGTTCAGTCCTGGATTAGTCCCGGTTTAGTCTGTATGCGGCATCTCGATCAATGTTTCTTCTGCTCAATAAATAATGCCTGTGAAGTGATGCTGTATTTTTAACAGTAAAGTTGCATCTGTAAATTTGTATTCATATTGAAGCAGGCGTAATCGTAAATTTAAATTTTTGACATCGTAAGTTTTCAATTCGTATTCTGATTTATAAAATACACACAACACATTTTATGTACGACTGGACTCATTCGAGAGTTAACGAATATTTATTTTATGCCCAACTACAGCCAAATATGCAGGATTTCCCAAATATACACGGATATTTCTGAAAGTTTTCTTATTCCATACATTACAGCCTAGAATTCGACCTGCTTGTCTCCATGCAGATTGATTTTACATTGCAGGAAAAACAATATCATCTCCATGGTCCCTGCACCAGAAAACTTATAGTGCCTCTTTAAGAGCTCTGTATTTTACATAAACCACAGCGTTGCAAGAGTTGTAGTAATATGCCTTTTTTTCTAAAACTGTTCCTCATATATA